GCTTTTGTAGTTGGAAGACCTACCTGCTATTCACGGCCACCATTTGAGGCAATGCCACTTGCTTTATAGCAGATAAAAAACTCTGATTATTCTTTCTTGTTCATAGCAGCTGTGACACTCTCAAAGGTGCTTTTGAGCATGGAGAGAGGGGATAGCTGAAAAGAAAACTCAAGATAACCCTACAGGGCTAAAAAATGATACAATTTTTGCCTTCTGTTCCTTGGGGCTTGCAATCTCAACCTATTAGCAACCAGGGCTCTTACTTTTCTCTGGCTTTTTCCTACTGGAATATTTATCCCTCTGAATGGTCTTTCAGCACTGATGTTCTTCACTCAGCCAAAAGTTTTGTGACAGTCAACTAAATGGCCTTCCATTTATTTTCTGCATCCTGATTAAAAATAAAATATCTTTCAGGCCATTGATTGTTATTCATAAGCTGTTTTTGCTTAGAGAGAATGACAATACTGTTCTTTAGACAATGCTGAAAGAAATTGCACACATTCTCAGTGGTGAATGTTAGCATATATACTCTGTCGACTACAGTGGATTCCTTCCAGTTCATTTCTGGATGCAATTCAAGGTGATGTAAAACCCTGTATGGCTTACGTCCTGACTGTCCAAGAGACCACATCTCCACATCATCTTGTCTAGGCCAGAGGTTCTCAAACTGGGGGATTGCGCCCTGCTTGGGAGAGCAGGCAGGGGTGGGGGTGTGAAAAGCTTTAGGGGAAAAAAACTTACTGTGCACATTCAGAGCTGAGTGGCTAGAGAGCCACCGCTAGCAGCAGTGGAAAAGTAAACCATCAAATACGTTTGAGAACCACTGGTCTAGACAAGAAAGTTGTACTGATTTAACTAAATCTATTTAGAAATGGATGTAAGCTAAATTAATATGAAGTGTTCGTAAACCAAAATAAAAGTATCCACAAAATGGGATTTAAAGTTAATTATTTATTTTTATGTATTTATTTACTTATTTATTTGCATTGTGGTAGGACCTAAAAACTCCAGTCATGGACCAGGACCACATTGTGCCAGGCACTGTACAAAAACTGAATGAAAAGAAAGCTCCTGCCCGGAGACACAATCCAAATATAAGACAAGAGACAACAGGTGTATATAACAAACAGACAATGGGAGTTCAAGGAGACTGGTCAGCATAAAAAGCAGTGGTCACAGCACACATCAGCCGCCTTACCATTGTTGAATTTTTGTAAACAGCTCACAATATTGCCAAAGAGTCTCATGATTTTCTCGCAAGTCTTGCAATTTTCTTAAAGGCCCGGTTCCTGGAATCAGCTTACTACTCAATAATATCATCTTTCATTTTTTATTTTAAGTATGTTTCTAGCTCAGTGTAAACTAGTGGGTGGGAATGGAAATAAAGCTCTAAGTTTCAGTGCTTTTAAGGCTCTTTCCTCAGGGCTTATTATCCACCAGTCACAAAACCAGAAGGAAAATCAACTGAAAAAACACTGGGCAGTAATTCCCCAAAGGCCTCCCTGGCTTTAGTCATCCACAAATCCTGACTCCCCTTCCTTTTATACTCTGCCTGGTGTCTTGATATGACCAGCCAAGACATTCACCTTCTAGAGGCTGCAGTGCCACTCAGTCTCAGTTTTCTGACTGCATGCTGTTATACTCTTCAACATATACATTGAAGTTGGAGAGGAAGAGTCAGCACAGATAAGTACAGAGAACTCACTCTTATATGTTCCATATAAATGCCTTATCAAAGAATTTATAACACAAAGCCTTTATCATTGCTTCCTCATTTATTACTAGTCTAACTTTTATTAGTTTTTCATTGCATAACATCATGGGAGGAAGGAATATATAGACTGGCCTATTGATAAGTGTCAAAACAATATCATTTTTATGTAACAAGAAATACAAGAACTGATCTTAAAACGATCACTTCTCCCAGGACCATTGCTTAGTTAAAAGTTGATCTATAAAGGATCTTAAGAAAAATTGGACTTGTGCTGCGTTTTACTTCTTTATGATTTATAAAGAAGATTGGCAGATTTTTGTTTGTTTGCTTTTGGGGGAGGGGTGTTTCCTGCTCATCTTTTAATTTAAGAATATCAGGAATGTAAAGTCTGGTCTTATTTGCTTTGTTGGAAGCCCAGAGGGAGGTAAAAAATATGTTTATTGTGAGCTCTTAAAACTTTAAAACCTTAATTGAAAGGTATGGAATCTTTAACATAGACTTAGGCCTGGTCTACACTACGACTTTAATTCGGATTTAGCTGCGTTAATCCGAATTAATCCTTAACCCGTCCACACAACGGAGCCAGTTACTTCGAATTAAAGGGCGCTTAAAATCGATTTCTGTACTCCACCCCGACGAGCGGAGTAGCACCAAAATCGATTTTGTAAATTCGAATTAGGGGTAGTGTGGCCGCACACCACCGAATTAATGTGGTTAAAATTAATGGGGTAGTGTGGCCGCACACCACCGAATTAATGTGGTTAAAAACCGAATTAATGTGCTTAGTGTGGCCGCGCACAATCGAATTTATACAATCTGTTTCCCAAATTCGAATTATCTAAATTCGAATTAATCTCGTAGTGTAGACGTACCCTTATTTCATTCAAAAATGTTCAATAGGCATTGAAGTTAAATAGGAGTTAGCAAAAACAAATAAAATACAAAGAATTTTATACAGCCTGACTTAAAATCCCATCACCTCTTAACAGCTCAATTTTTACTCTCCTGCTTCTCGTGATGTCATCATTTACACAGGCTCCCTAGTCATCACAGAGTCTTTGAAAAAAGAAGAAAAAAAGGGCACACGCCCAATTTTTTTCCCCTTTGTATGTCACTTTTAACTTTCATGATAACTTATTACACTGCTAAAGATGAGCAGATTACAAAGCAAATTCAAAACACTATTTATGAATTATTTTGCTTTATGGCAAGCATAGCTGAACTTTGTCAGTGCCTTACTGTGTAGTGAACTTGAATCAGAGAACAATTTTGGTTATTCATAACAGTCAGGATAGGAATTCTTTTATACTTTCCCCACTAATGTGAATAGCGAAGTCACCTTTCGAAATGTGTAAGGATAGGAATGGTGGCAATAATAAATACCTTTTGTCTAGTGTGCAGTGGCACAGTGAATTGGATCATGTTAGGCTTAGCCTGCTACCTAATGCAATGTAACATAGCAGATAAAATAAATCAAATATATGACATGCTATTAGACCTGAAAGATGATAGCTGTTCTAAAGCAACTGTGGTGAGAATGTTTCAGTGCTGATTTCAAGTGGTTATTTAAATCAAAAATCTTTGAAACCAAACCAGTGCATATTTTAAGGGCTATGAAACAAGTGAGCAGAACTATAGCATATTACTGGTGAAGGAATTTCTTGAAACAAAATCCAGCTAAATTTTATGTTTGTTTGATGCAGCATTTGGTACATTTTTCATTTCTGCTGAGTGCTGTCTATAGACATTGGCATGAGTGTCTGAACTTAGAGATATTCTTCCTTTATTATCATGGCAGCGAAAGACTCATAGTGTTTCGGTGGTAGATTTTCAGTGGTACCTGGCATAATAGCTTTCTGTTTGACATAATTTTAAGTTTCATAAGTAATTGTTTAATATAGTGTACTCACCAAGCAGTAACTGAAAAGTACATGTTAGATCATTTCTATGTTGAAGTAGAAATTTCTTGTTTATTACAATAAATTCCAACAAGGGATCTAACCTATTTTCATGTGCTTATTTGCCTCAACTGACTGTTCACTAATTCTTGACTATTTAGATTATAGACAACTTTGGCCTTAAATATGCGAATCTAGTAATAACCTTTCAGTGATGAGCAAGGGTTTGCTAATAAAATGTGAACTATTGGAAAACCTAGAGAGCCTATTCTCTTTAATTAAAACTTAATTATGTTGATTTTTTTTTGTTTCTATCCTTTTTGCTTTATGTGAATCTGCATACAGGGTTTATTTTGTAAGCTGGGGTGTAAAACTACAGCGCTCTTGCCTTCTGCTCATTAAGTCTCCATGTGGACCCTGCGTCCGTGTACTAAAAGTTCCATAGTTGAAACAGCAGCAGATCAAAGCACACTACAGAACTTTTACTATGTGGCAGCAGAATCCACATGGCCACTAAGTGAGCAACAGGCTTGAGCGTTGTAGATTCATACCCCAGCTTGCCATGCATTAAATCGCCATATGGACAAGACCTATAATTCTTGCTCAGCTTTGATATGTTAAATTTGTTTCTGTTTTGTTAAATAACTGTAACTGAACCATTATGAATGAATGGTTTCATAAAAGATGGAGGTGTCAGTCACAGCTCCATAGTTAAGGATGAATTGAATTTTGCACTTAAAGCGGGGAAAAATGCAGCGTTATCTTCTTCAAATTCACAGCAGTTACTCTATGAATACAGAATGAATTTTCTGAGGATTTACAAGTAAATCTTTAGTTTAGAAATTAAAGTTAAGGTAGGTGTGTTTAAGAAATTTAGCACCCACTGTCAGACCTTTTCATTTGTCCCAAATGATCTCACTAACAGAATAACAGATATTGACAGAGAAATTTTCAGTTCCGAAGAATAAAAGTGAAGAATTACTATTAATCATTGCAGAAGATTTCAGTGGGTTTTAATTATATGGGAAGTTTTTAAGAGTCTGATAGAGCAGAGTTAAGGTTATTTGGGTGCTCTGACTGTGAATTTTCATACTATAATATGTTTGGATTTCTTTTAAATTTAACCAGAACTGTGAATATCCTGAGTTTATAACACTAGTTTTGGGATAATTACAACATCCCTGTAATGCAATTTGCCCTAAATTACTGATATGTACTCTCAACATTTTATCTTAATATAGTTTTTTGTCCAGGAAAAAGAATAGCATTAAATGGGAATTAATATGCATGATTTATATTTATATTTTAGGTGGTACATGGAAAAATTAATACTTACAAATTGGAATAAAAACACAATTAACATTTTGTTGTTGTTGTTTTCTCCTTAGCCCACAGTATGTGAACGGGAGCTGTGTGTTTTTGCTTTCCAAACTCTAGGAGTAATGAATGAAGCTGCAGATGAAATTGCCACTGGGGCTCAGGTACAGCTATATAATGTTAATCATGTGTTGAATTTTGTATAGCACATCCAATAATTTCTATTAATCCATTTTTACTAACTTTCTTCATATCTCTGCTCTTTGCTAACTCTTATAAACTGCTTCACAGTGTGCAAAGACTAGTAGAGATGTGATTACATACTTTAGTGTATAGGCGGGATATTCTAAAGGTGCTCATTAGGTAGTTCCCAAATTCTGCTCCTGTTGAAGCCTATGGGACGTTTACCATTGATTTTAATGGTGGCAGAGTTAGGCCAATGCTAAGTGCTTTTGAAAATTGAATTCTTTCTTCTGCTGAGTTGAATTTGGTCACCTGGTTAGGTCTGGGCTGTCCATTTATCTTGTTGGAGATAATTCCTATTTTATCTTAAAGAGCAATTGTTACTCTCAGGCAAATATTAAACCTTTTTCTTTTCATGGTGTTGGGATACAGGTGTCCATTGTACATCTGTTGTTTTGATTATTAAATAACAGTGTGCACAGTCCTGATCCATTGTTACTACACTGTTTTCTTCTCTCCATTCAGAGGAGCAGCCCTTTTAACATACCTTTGGTTTTTTACTCTAAATTTGTTAGTAAATACTGGCAGGATATTGCTACTTACTCTGTAGTTATTTGTTTTCTTCAATATTTTTCTTTAGAAAATCCAATTAAATTGTATCTTCCAAGTTGCCTTTTTATCATATTTTATTAAAATTGTTTAAGAACTTTAATAAGTTAGGGCAATATCCATTACAAAGCCCCTGAGGGCTGAGTGAAGTATTACATACTGGTTGCTATATTCTTTCCATGATTTCCAAAAACAGGTGTGTAGCGGCCTGATTTTCAAAAATGTGAGGACCCACAGGTTTCAATTAACTTTAATTGGAGCTTCTGAGTGTTCAGCACTTTTGAAAATAAGGCCATTTCACTTTGATTTAGGTATTCAATTTTGAAATTCTTGTCCTCTTCTTTCTGTTACCCTTTCAATTAATTCCCTAAGGTGACCCTCACTAGGTTGTAATTCCCAAGACTCCCCCGGCTCCTTTTTTAAAAGCAGGTGCTGTACCAATCAGTCATCAGAAACAATCCTCGGCTATGGCCAAAGAGCACACAGCACATCTCTTGGGGGAAAGAGTGTAATGGCAGCTCCCCCAGTCCTGAGCATGCTTTGTACTAGCCTGGTTTCCTGTTTAATTTAGAGCAGAATTCAAGCTGCTCTGAATTATACCAGCTGCCAATGGTCCCAGAGAGAATCAGTGGGTGGTTAGTAAGTTCAAGGCATGTGCCAATATGCCAATAACAGGGTGGGAAGTGGTATAGGAGTCATGACTCTGTCTCTGCACAACTAAAGGGTGTTGCTACACTGGGGTGATCCATTCTTGGGTAACTAGGCCAACTTCAGAATCAAAATTCACCAGCTGTATGGCATAAAGCAGCAGCACTACACTGGAGGATTTGGGCCACTGCATTTAAAGATTTAGGGTCTGATCCTACTCCCAATGGGAGTTTTGCCATTGACTTAATTGCAAGTGGGTTCAGGGCAGATATCCTGAAATAAAATAACAAATCAAGTATTTTCATATCCTCTAAAATCCAGGCTTATGCAAAAAGAGTAAAGCAGGATTTCTGAGGATTGGTGCCAGGGAGAAAGATTAGAATTTCACTAGGAGTTGGTCACCTAACTCTCTTAGGATATGTCTACACATTGAGCTGGGGATTGAGGAGACACATTCACACTAGCTTACTAAAAATAGAATGTAGCTGGGAAGCACACTGCCAGCTCAAAGTGTAGACATACCCTTAGACTCCTTTGAGAATCAGCACAGATACCTAATTTTGAAAAGTTCTCCATGTCTGTAGGTTTTGTAAACTGGGAAGAAAATAGAGCATCTTAATATTTACTGTGGATTTTAAACTTTTCATTAAAAACCTGGGGGAGGGAATTGCTTAAGTAGCCTTCTTGTTCAGGACATATGAGGTCTCCAGTTATTTCAATTGCCAGAATAGTTTTTATCAGAAGAAGATTGTTCATTCATGCCAAGATAGCAGAGGAGGAGAAGGGAAAACAGTGTGACTCACTACCGCACAATTCCTTCTATCTTTCCTGATGATTCTCACTTTCATTCTGCTTCTCTAAACGGAACTCACTTTTATTTCCCTTGAGTGATCGGATCTGGTAACTTTTAGAACAGCTTGAATGATGAATCACGATACAGTCCATCTGGAATGATCGGAGGAATTACAAGTGCTTCTTAAACAAAACTCATCTCATCCTCAAACTTATTTTCAAATTATGAAATTTCTGATGCAACTTTTATTTAAAACTGAGTGTATGTTACATGCACAAACACATGTACATGCAGTAACCTGGGGCAAATTCCAGGAGATCAGTGCACAGCACAAACATTCCCAGCTATGCTGTAATCTCTGCAGCGGCAAGGAAGAAGAAACTCTCAGCCTGAGCCATGAACTGTTCCACTATTGCAAATCTAAAAGGCAATACTTGCCATGGTTTTTACAACTCTATTCTCCAGGGGAGCAATGACCTGTGGATCTATGTAGTGCAGATCCACCAACCCTGTCTTTGCGCCCCTCCCCCATCCCATTCTTGCTTCATCCTTGAGCAAGATTGTTAGCTGTTATCTGCTACATTGTGCCTAGGTATGCATACCCCCTGTAGAGCTTTCTTCCTCCCTCCTAGTTTTGCTGCATCTGGGGATTCCACACATGTACAAGAGGAATTAGGGTTTTTAATTAAAAGGTTCTTTCCTGCTTGTGTATAATATGAATGCACTGTATACAACAGATGGGTTTCCGTCAGTAGATGAAATGGTTTATCAATTTTCTTGACATAACGCTTATTCCTCCACAGTATTACAGACATTTGTCAACTACTAAATCTAAGTTTCTTCTCAAGCAAAATTGCTGCAACATAACAATATTTATTTAGTCCTTGGACTCCGCTCACTCACAAAATGCCTCAAAACCACTGTAGGCCAAATTGTACCTTATGGAAGATCCTCAAACATATAGTAAAATGCATATTTTTGAGATGAGAAATATCATTTAACCCTTTAGGGATCTGGAGACAATGATTCAGATAGCTCATCTAACATGTAGAAAAATATTTTATACCTGAACAAAATGCAGTCTATTATTTCAAGTTAGGGTACAATTGTGACTTCAGCTACACTACCATGCAACTATATACCTTGTAAAATCAGATGCTACTGTATATCCACAGCCATATTGTACAAGCCATTCAGTGAATAAAACTAGTGAATCTGAGGCATTGTGTTCCACAAAGATTTTCAAAACTGGGTTAAGTCAAATTTCAAAAGATGCAGACTAAAATATGAATATGAAATCACTTACAGGCGGCTGTTATTACAAAATGCGGAACTACCACTCCTGTGACTTATGGTTTTCAACAAATATTCAAGCATTGGAATTCAATCAGCGGTCATCATGGGTATAATAAAGACACAACATCAAAGAAGCAAATTCTATGATGCAGGAAGACAGAAGATAATTCTGGAGAAACGAATAGATTATTGAATCTCAAAATAAATAGTTTTCTGTGAAAGAGCCATTTCTTTATGTATGATTTTCTTTATTTTTAGGTGGTAGATTTATTAGTATCCATGTGTCGATCGGCATTAGAATCACCCCGGAAAGTTGTCATTTTTGAGCCATATCCTTCTGTAGTTGATCCTGATGATCCTCAGGTGCTGGCCTTTAATCCAAGGGTAAGTAGTTGTCTCTTCAACAGGTAATGTTTGCTTTTAGGCATGTTTTAGATTTCAAAGCCAGGTCCAGTTCCACAAGATAATGTGTCTTCACACTGACAGATATAGATTTAAAATACAGTACGTGTACAACAGTGTAGCCATGGAGCCTATGAAATATTTTAGACAATATAAAATGTCATTTTGAAGCTGTCTAAAGGTAAACGTTCAGTCTCCCTGTTTGTGGGTGCAAATTGTGGATGCAATATTTGTTCATCTGGAGCATATTAGTGTTCCAGATGAACAAAGTGAAGTTGGCCTTTGGGAAAATTTAACGTGTGGCTCTAAATCCGCTTATTTTTATTTTACATTTCTAAAGTTCTTATTTGTAAAAATGATTATATTCTTAAAATAATAATTTTTAAAATAATGATTATACTTGAAACGTGTGTAGTACTTTTCATCTTCAGAGAGTTCCCAAGCAATAACTAACAAAGTAAAAACAACAAGGAGTCCTTGTGGCACCCTAGAGACTAACAAATGTATTTGGGCATAAGCTTTCTTGGGCGCCCAAATAAATTTGTTAGTCTCTAAGGTGCCACAAGGACTCCTCGTTGTTTTTGCTGACACAGAGTAACACGGCTACCACTCTGAAACCTAACAAAGTAAAGAATATTGCCTACAACACAATGATAGACCTTTCTATTCATTTTGAATGAAATTCACTCCTTGCAATCGGAGGGCTTGCAGAAGACCAATGCAACCAACACAGCATTTAAATCCCACTGAGGCCCTATTTTAACAGCTTACGTGGGAACTATGCATACTCTGCATAAGGGTAAATTTCACCTTTTTTTATCAAAGGCCAAACAGTGGCACACTAGAATTTCCTGGGGTTTTTAACTGATTCATTGCTGGCCCTTCACTCCACTTAATCTGCTCCCATGTTCTGTTGAACAGGAAGATGCACTACTGGACCTGATATTTAAATAACTGTCAGACTCATCAATAGTTATTAACATTTGTTGATAAATTGATCTAATTTACAAAGTGGATTTCCTTATTTGCAGTGGATTCTAGTGAATTTAAACAAAAGTAACTGGCGTCAGTTGGTCTTCCAGACTTTTCCTGGGTTGTAGATGAGTTGATGTGTGGGATGGAAGAAGAATATTGGATGTAGAGATATGAGAGGGCTTGGTTTGTCAGTCATTGGTCTTAATTGTTGTTTTATACCAAAAGTATATGAACTCAGAGCATTGAATGAGTATGTTTATATGTAAAAGAGCTCCCCCCCAAAAAAAATTAATGTATTCATTTATTTTACATTACATCAGAAGAAGAATTATGATCGAGTCATGAAAGCATTGGATAGTATTACTTCTATTAGAGAAATGACACAGGTAAGTATAAGAGTCTTTTAGTATCTTAACTGTAATTTATCGAAGGATGTACCTGATTTTATTCGTTGCTCTTTTGGGGGAGGAGGGTGGTGCCTTGCATTGTATTTTTATTTTTGCTGCCGAGTTGCAACAATATAAGAATATGTGTTAAAAATAACAAACCTGCAGTATATAGATGGTGACAAAATAAAACTGATGAAACAGAACTCTGGTCACTGGAAGCTTAAATAAGAGATAATATCCGTGGATTGGAACATCGTAACAGAATAATGGCCAACTACTGCTTCATGCATTTTAGGAAATAGCAAGGCTAAGCCAAGTCTTTGATTTTTCAAAGCAAGGGTCATTGATTTTGTGACAGTATACTATGGTGATGGCTTTATTTCTATTATAACTAGAACTTTGTTCATTTAAGTAAAATTGAGAGGGATTAGGAGCCAGGGCTCCTGTGACTTAGATCATGCAGCTTCTGAATACTCACTTTGGGCCAGTTTTTGATACCTTTGTACACTACCTCTGTTGAGTAGTACTTTATTTCACAAGTGGTCCCATTGATGTTAACTGATTACTAGTAGTGCAGCACCACCCTATTACCCTGCTGTTAAATAGATGTAACCTCACCAAGGTTTGTAAAGCTCAGTTAATCTAAGTTTGTACAATACTTTTAGATTTTGGAATGAAAAATGATGTGTTTACGAAATACTATTATAATTTTAGTATAAGAATTAAGCTACTATATTGCACATTATATTATCTAGTTGCCATTTTAATACTAGGATGAAGTATAATTATTGCTGGGCTGAGTAGATTTAAAGAGCTACTTCATGATCCTAATATAGTCAGTGGGAGTTTTCAGTGTGAACATTATCTGGTCCAATATTGATTTTACCTATTTAATACCATGAAGCAGTTAAAATAGTTATGAGTGAATTACCACAGAGTACTTTAGAGAGGCTTTGTTTCACTGAAGTTCCAGTCCAGTTGCCTAATGTCGGAGCCAAACACTACTAGATGGCCTCTCCTGTTACCAACATGTTAGCTCCAATATACTTGTTCTGAAGCTACATGTAAGCTTATAAATTCTACCCAAGGGAAGGGAATTGCTGGAGTAATTCTTGTTGTTGTCAAGGCAGTTATAGCTGTTCAAGGCTAAATGTCAGTAAATCTGTGATGATGAATCCAATGTATTCATTTATTATAGATTAAACTATGTGTAATGTAATATATACAAAATTTTATCCAGCAGTAAAGAGCATAATTATTGTTTTCTAGGCACCATATTTGGAAATAAAGAAGCAGATGGATAAACAGGACCCGCTTGCGCATCCTCTTCTGCAGTGGTATAGAACTGACTTACATTAAGATAAGAATTATTTCAGTACCATGTTGAATGAATAATCATTTTATTATTTTTAATTTGGTGTTAGCTAGCCCTAAGAATTAATATTGGCATTTACAATTATTAGCATTTAATTTTTTTTCTGAGAGCTTTTAGGACCTGATCCAAAACCCACTGAAACCAATGGAAAGACTCCCACTGACTCTAGTGGACTTTGAATCAAGCCCTTGACCAGCACCATGCCTATGCACCACTTAAGTAGAATGTATATGATTCATAGGCCTTCAGCTAGCATCTGTCAATGGCCATTAATCAATACTTCCCTAGAAGAAAATTTTGTATTGATACCTGCATGTATTTATTTTTTCTTTATTTCAGGGTTATTTCTAGTAATAGGTCACATATTGTGAAACTACCAGTGAACAGGGTAAGTTTGGAGTTATTTTCTTTGTATATTAATATGGTGGGATTTCAGAACTTTGTTCCCATTTAAGTCAGAGGGAGCATTACCATTAACTACAATGAGGTCAACGCTGAGTGCTTTTAAAAATCTCACTTGTGATGTGTGTGTGAGTGTGTTGTTTATTTGTGTGAAGAAACAACACAGCCTTGGTAATATTTGGTTAATTTCTTTAGTATTCATCCTGCTGTTCTCATTCATTACTTCAATATTTCACACTAACATAGATCCTTTTGAACACTTTGTCTCTTTAGGATGTGGATTACAGCTGTAGGGGTGTGTTAAAGACAGTTTTGCATGCATGCACACAAGTAGATGTACTATAAAAATGAATCAGTAGCTATGGCACTTGGAAGGGATTCTTTGAATTGAGTTGTTCATTCCTAAGTACAGTATTATGCCTCTGATTTTGTTTATAATACATTGAATCTGTGGCCTTTCAAATCAGAGTCTTAATTCAAAGCCACCTGAAATGCTTTGTGGAGTGGATCACGACCATGAGTGCCTACTTCAGGGTAGACTGTCAAAAGCAGAGCAGACACCCGAAAGTGTTGGTACAGTCTATAAATAAATTTCATCAACCCAGTACTAAGTGTGAACTCCCAAAGTACAGGCAATCCCTTTAGACACGCCAATCATAGGAGTCACAGGCAATCTCCTTAGACACTCCAGTCTATCTTGCCACCCTGACAAGCTGAACTATATGATAAATGGCCACTTATACCAAAAATCACAAAATAAAGTTACACCCAGTCCCAAGAGACCAATCACTCACGCAGGTTGATTTGCATCCTAGATCTCACACCAAAGACAACACTAGTAGCCACTTCTATAGTAAACTAACTAACGGTTTATTAGCTAAGAAAAAAGAATGAGAGTTACTGAAAGGTTTAAGCAGGTAAAAATAGATGTACAGTTGAGTCACAGTTTATCATTCCAAATGGTAGCAGAGATGCAGTAATCTGCATTTTCCAAAAGTCTCTTGGGGCTACCAGAATTATTCTGGGGATCTCTGTCTTGTCATTCATTTATTCTGCCCTGTTAGAATCCAAACAGTCCAGAGATGAAGAATTTTTCCTTGTGTCCATACTTTCTTCTCACAGAAAACAAGCTGGCAGGGTCACTACCCATGTGGGCTCTTTCTTTGAGGGTGGAAGAGAGAGGAATGCACTGCAATTAAATACCTATGGCTGAAGCCTGGGCTCTAGACCCTACAAAGTGGCAGAGTCCCAGTGCTCGGGCTGCAGCCTGAACTCGGAAGTCTACACTGCAATGAAACAGCACCTGAGTCAGCTGGCATGGGCCAGCTGTGGGTTTTTATTTGTAGTGTGGACATACCCTTAGAGTCTTTGGTCTCTGATCAACATACACAATGACCACTTGCCTTCAAATGCACAAGAATTAGCACTTTCCTGTTAAAGTTCTTCATTTGTGTTACACAACGCTGCTTTCTTCTTCGAGTGCTTGCTCATGTCGATTTCATTCTAGGTGTGCGTGCACCCACATGCACGGTTGTCGGAGCTTTTTGCCTTAGTGGTATTCGTAGGGCCGGCAGTGGCGCTGCCTTGAGTGCTGCGCCAATGCGTCGGTATATCACCCGCCACAGGCCCTATGCCCTCTCAGTTCCTTCTTACCGCCCGTGGTGGTTAGTCGGAGCACCTTTCCTTGCATAGGAAGGGCTAGCGGTTTCGTCTCTACTGACTTCAAGCCTTAGGGCCTTGTAAATAGTTTGTTGATAGTAGTTAGTGTTAAGTAGTTGTTAAATATAGTTAGAAGTTAAATTCCAAGCGGGGACTTTGCCCCAGGTGGGGCATGCCTCAGGCTCCCAGGTTTAAGCCCTGAGCGGACTGTAACAGGCCTATGCCTGTAAGTGACCCCCACAGCAGCTGCCTCAAGTGCTTGGGGGCATCACATGTGAAGGACAAGTGCCATATTTGTAAGAACTTTCTACCCAGGACTCAGAGGGAGTGGGATATTCGTTTGCGGGCTATCCTCATGGAGCCTGCCCTTCGTCCGGCGTCCGAGCCATCCTGCCAAAACTTGCCGAGTACCTCGGCCTCAGTGCGCAGTGCACCCCTGGCACCAGGGTCCGCCCAGCACTGCTCCCCATCACCAGTGCCCAAGAAGAAAGCAAGGAAGCACGGCTCCCCAGCACCAGGAAAGAAGGGCCATGGGGAAGGGACGCAGTTCAGGCCACCTGGCCACTCCAGAGCCACACGTCCATGCCTCCCGAGAGCCCTTAGCCCCTTAAAATGTCCACCGCCGACTCCCGGGAGCAGTATAGGACCCAAACCCCTGATGGCACCAATGCCTTCCCAAGTTCCCCACGAGGGCAAGCTAGCCCTTAGGGGGCAGTGGAGTGCCGCTGATCCACCCAGATTAGACAGCGCTCTCCACCTCCACGCCACAGATAGCCGAAGTCGCAGCCCAGATCCTCTGGGGCTTGCTCTTGGTCACAAGCACCGCGATCGTGGTCCCCGCTGTCTCAATGCGGATCACCTAGAGGGAGGCACCAGTCTCCATACTATCGGCACCGTTCATCTGCCCACTGGTCGTCCTCTTGGCGCAGATTTTGGTCGCCTGCCCCGTGGGAGTGCCCCCCATCATGTCTCCAGTCCCATGGGACTGGCACCAATCCTCTCATTTCAGGCACCGGTTTCCGGCGGCTACGGTCAACAGGCAGACTCAGGCATTGATGTCCCCACCGTGGCCTCCAGAAGGGGATTCCTCCAGCACAGAAGGGCAGTTCAGCCCCTCGCCCAGACTCCACCAGTGGAATTGGGCACCCGAGGCTATGTTGACGCCTTGGTGGCACGGCCAGTGGCCAGTGCAGTGGCCTTACTGGAGCACGTGGGGAGTGCCGGTCATGATGATGCCTCCCACGCACCGCTCATCTGCCACCACCTAGGAGCAACAGCTGGCAGCACCGGCTCAATGCATCAGACCCGCTCGGAGGTCGGAGTAGAGAAGACAGTGCCCACCCCAAAATCCCCCTCCCCCACAGGGGATGATGCCCCTGAGCCTCCCCCAGCGGTTCAGTCATCGTACTCCTCCCCGGATGAGGTGATCGGGGACCCTCGAGGGCCAGTTCCCCGGACGATTTTAAGGAACCCCAGGTCCTGCTTCAACGGGTGGCCGAGAACTTGGGCCTAGAGGTGGAGGAGATGGCCGAGCAGGCGGATACCTTGTTCAATGTCCTCTCAGCCTCTACCCCAGCACATGTCGCACTAGCAGTACATGACGGGGTCCTAAAAATTGCCAAGACCCTCTATCCATCCCTCCCACCGCCAAAAGGCTAAAAAGAAGTACTTCATCTCGACCAAAGGGTTCAAGTACTTTTATACCCATCCACCTCCGTGCTCACTGGTTGTCTCTGTGGATAATGAAAAGGACAAGCAGGGGCACACCTGTTCAACTCCCAAAAATAAAGTGACCAAAAGGTTGGACCTTTTAGGGAGAAAAATTTATTCAGCAGTCAGCCTGCAATTCTGGGTGATGAACCAACAGGCCCTCTTGGGCAGGTACAGTTTTAACTTATGAGATTCCCTCCGTAAATTCAAGGAGTCCCTCCCTCAAAATCTGGAATTTGGCACCCTGGTGAAGGAGGGCACCATGGCGGCCAGGTGCTCCCTCCAGATGATATGGGATGCAGCGCACTCAGTGGCCAGGGTGGTCACATCGGCGATGGTCAGGAGGCGCAGCTCCTGGCTTCAGACTGCCGGCCTATCACAAGAGCTGCAGACCTCTATCCAGGACCTCCCATTTGATGGGAACAGTCTCTTTTCGGAGTAGACGGATGCAAGGCTGCATGGATTGAAGGACACTCAGGCCACCCTTTGCTCTCTGGGCATGCATACGCCGCAGTCTGCTCAAAAGTAGTTCCGGCCGCCCCTTCCGCCAAGGCGTTGGCAGCTTCATCAAGGGCCTGCAAGGAGAAGGGATAGAGACATAAGCTTTAGTCGGTTGCCGCCCTTCCTCCTCCTGCTCACCCACTCAGCCCGGCCCAGCGAAGCATCCAGGGGGCCAGAAGCACTTGTTTTGAAGCTGAGCTCAAAAGCAGCACCCCAGTCAATTCCCCAAATCCACCTTGTTCTTTCCTCGACTGTCTTCATCCCTACCTTTTGACCTGGTTTTGGGTCACCTCGGACAGCTGAGTGCTGGAAATAGTGTCTCAGGACTATCCCCTGCAATTTTTGGCCGTCCCTCCCTCCTACCCACCCCTCTTCTCTATTCCTCTTCAGGGACCCTGCTCACGAGCAACTCCTTGTCCAAGAGGTCGAGAACCTCCTGCAGCTCGGGGCGGTGGAGGAGGTCCCTCAGGACATGAAGGGGAAAGGGTTCTGTTCCCGCTACTTCCTAATCCCGAAAACAAAAGGGGGGCCTCAGACCCATTCTGGACCTGTGTTGCTTCAACAAGTCTCTCAGAAAGTTGAAGTTTCGCACGGTCTCCCTGGCCTCCATCATCCCCTCCCTGGATCTGGGAAACTGGTATGCTGCCCTCAGCTTGAAGGATACTTATTTCCATATTCCAGGGTCACAGACATTTCCTCCGTTTCATAGTTGGCGGATTCACAGTGCTACCCTTGGCCTGTCATCGTCCCCGAGGGTCTTCACAAAGTGTATGGCGCCAGTGGCTGCTTATCTGAGATGTCGAGGGGTCCAGGTCTTCCCGACTTGCTCATCAATGGCAGGTCTCAGGAGCAACTGCAAAGGAGCCTCCATCTGGTGCATTCCATCTGCCGCAACCTGGGCCTATTGATAAAGGAGAAAAAATCCACCTTATCGCCTGTCCAGCTAATAGAGTTCATCAGGGCAGTTCTCGACTCCACACAGGCCAGAGCCGACCTACCAGAAGCGTGTTTTCAGGCCATGTCGGACCTGATCTCCCATGTAAAGAAGCACCCACTCACCACGGCTCAGTGGCTGTTGGGCCACATGGCTGCATGTACATACGTGGTCAGCCATGCTCGAGTCCATCTCCGGCCTCTGCAAGCATGGCTGGTGTCGGTCTACATCCCCAAGAGGCACGACCTAGACCAGGTAGTCAGGGTGCCGGACCACATCAGATCATCCCTGGATTGGTGGTTGGATCCCGGGTCACTGTTGGAGGGAGTCCCCTTCACAATCCCATCCCCGTTGCTTACCCTGGTCTCTGATGCTTCGGACCTGAGCTGGGGAGCCCATCTGGGCAAGCTGAGCACTCAGGGCCGCTGGTTGCGGGACGATCTGGCCCTCCACATCAACGGCAGGGAGCTCAGAGCGGTTTGCCTGGCCTGCCAGGCTTTCTTGCCCCACCTGAAGGACAAGGTGATGCAGGTCCTGACGGACAATAATGCCGTGATGTATTACATCAACAGGCAGGGTGGTGCTAGGTCTTCGGCCCTTTGTCAAGAAACTCTCCGCCTTTGGCATTTTTGTATGCGGCATGCCATTCATCTGATAGCAGCAGACATGCCTGGAACATCTTGGATCACCTCAGCAGGACCATCTCGCCAAGAGTGGTCGCTCCATCCGGAGGTGGTCATTATTATCTTTCGGAAGTGGGGAACTCCCCAGGTGGACTTGTTCGCGTACCGTCAGAACAGGAAATGCCATGTGTTCTGTTCACTCTGGGGGATGGACGGGGTTCCCTGTTAGACGCTTTCCTGCTCTCGTGGTCAGGGGCACTGATATACGCCTTCCCGCCAGTGGCATTGATCCACAGAGTCCTTGTGAAGATCAAACAGGATAGGGTAAAGATTATCCTCACTAACACTGGTTCGGCACCCTGCTGGACCTTTCAGTAGCTGCCCCACTGCAACTACCTCTCTGGCTGGATCTGCTATCCCCAAACCATGGCAGTCTTCTGCACCCGAACCTGGCGGTGTTGCTCTTGACAGCATGGCTACTGCATGGCTGAATGCGGAGGAGCGGGAATGCTCGGCCCGGGTTTAACAGGTCTTGTTGGATAGCAGAAAGCCCACCACCAGAGCAACTTACCTGGCTAAGTGGAAAAGGTTCATATGCTGGGCTTTGGAACGATGTATCCAGGCCTCGCTGCAGGTGATCCTAAATTATCTTCCACACCTCAAGCTCCAGGGCTTGTCCCTGTTATCAATCAGGGTCCACATGGCCGCTGTTTCGGCTTTCCACCCTTCTTTCCAAGGCAAGTCAGTCTTCGCTCACGACATGACAGCCCATTTTTTTGAAAGGTCTGGAGTGTCTCTACCCTCACATCCAGGACCATGTCCCTCCCTGGGACTTGAATCTCATGCTGTTGAGGCTCATGGTGCCTACCTTTGAACCTCTGGCTTCCTGCTCTGTTCTCCTTCTCTTGTGGAAGATTTCGTTCCTAGTCACGGTAACGTCCACACGCAGGGTGTCTGAGATCAGGCCGGTTACTTCAGAACTGCCCTATGCGTTATTCTACAAGGATAAGGTCCAGCTGCGGCTGCACCCAGCTTTCCTGCCCAAGGTAGTCTCCCCGTTTCATACTGGCCAGGACATGCTTACCTGTCTTCTTCCCGAAGAAATCAGAGGAGGAGCACAGGTTGCACGCCCTGGATGTCAGGAGGGTGCGGGCCTTCTACATCAACAGGACAAAGCTGTTTCACAAGTCAACGCAGCTGTTCGTTGCAGTGGCAGACAGGATGAAAGGTCGTCCAGTATCTGCTCAAAGGATTTCATTCTGGATCATGGCCTGCATCTGCTATGAGCTGGCGAAAGTGCCTGTGCAGGCAATAGTCAAGGCGCACTCAATTAGAGCGCAAGCGTCATCAGCGGCCTTCCTGGCTCAGGTGCCGATCCAAGAGATTTGTAGAGCTGCTACCTGGTCATCTGTCCACACATTTACGTCCCATTATGCACTTACACACCAGGCCCAGGATGATGCTGGCTTCAGCAGAGCAGTGCTGTACGTTGTAAGACCGTGAACTCCGAGCCCACCTCCATTGACACTGCTTGTGAATCATGTAGAATGGAATTGACACGAGCAAGCACTCGAACAAGAAGAAATGATTACTTACCTTCTTGTTACTGTTGTTCTTCGAGATGTGTTGCTCATGTCCATTCCATTACCTGCCCACCTGCCCCTCTGTCGGAGTTGCTGGCAAGAAGGAACTGATAGGGCATAGGGCTGGTGGCACAGGATATACCAACACATGGGCGCGGCACTCAAGGGGGCGCCACTGCTGGCCCTACAGATACCGCTCAGGAAAAAATCTCCGACTACCATGCATTTCCCCCCATTCTTGATAAGGCATTAGCCACTACATTTTCCTTCCCTTTGATATGAATTATTTCTATGTCAAATTCCTGTAGGGCTAATCTAGAATCATCCCCTTAGCTCGGTGCAGCAACGTCAAAAGGGTGTGATCAGTCAAAACCTAAATTTTTTTATTAGACAAATAAGATTTAGGTTGCTTAACTGCCCAGACAGTGGCATAGCATTCTTTCTCAGGGAGAGCATAGTTTTGTTCAGTGGGGGTCAGTTTTTGCTTAAGTAGGTAATGGGATGCCTCTTGTCCTTGTCCCCCCCGCCTCCCCATCCTGCATCAGTACTGCACTTAACCCAGTTTTAGACGTGTCAGTACACAGCACAAATGATCTGTTGAAATTGGAGTTGCCCAAAGCAGTCTCTTTAGACAAAGCTTCTTTCCTGGAAGCCTATCTCACAGCCTCTTCCTTACCACCCGGTCTGGTTTCCCTCTTTTTGTAAGGTCTCTTATGAGGGCCACAATGTAACTTTACAAACCTCCAGTAATAGTTGGCCAGACCAATAAAAGATTGGACCTGCTTCCTGGCTCCATGAGCAGGCCAACTCTAAGTAACTTCTACCTTTAAAAACTTGGGTGAAGCAACCCACTGCCCACTCTGTGTCCTAGGTAGGATACCTCAGCAGCCCCCATCTTGCATTTGGAGACCTTGATGTTGAGGTTGGCTTCTCTCAGCCTTTGTAACACAATTCCTACTTGGTTTAAATGGTCTTGCCAAGAGCTACAGAAAGTAGTCAAGTCATCGATATAGGGCCTGGCAAAGGTTTGTAATCCCTGCAGCACTTCATTGACAAGCCTCTGAAATGTGGCTCCTGCATTTATTAATCCAAAAGACATAGCCAGACTCCACTATAAAAGTGGATTTTTCTTGGACATCAGCATCTAAAGGAATTTGTTAGTATCCACAAGTTAAATTCAGTGTGCTTATGAATTTTGCACCACCCAATAGATTCAGTAAGTCCTCTATTCAGGGTGTGGGATATGAATCAGGTTGTGTGATAGCATTTAGCTTTCTAAAATCCACACAAAAGCACATGGTTGTATACTTTTCATGTACCATTACAATAAGAGATGCCCAGGGGCTTTTTGACTTAGTAACTATTCCCATTTCCAGTGTGCTTTTGTAAGTGTTCAGTGAGACCTGGGGATTTGGCATGAGCTGATACTTAGTCTACCAGCATCACACCACTCTGATCAAAACACCAGGAATAAATTGCTCAATTCAGTTATTTCAGTGGTGTCAGCATGGTTCATCTTAGGTTGTCGTGTATGTCATGCACTTTCATATACTTCATAAACTGGGAAGTATTTTTAAAATTTTATTTGAAGTACAAACTATTATAATGAGACTGCCTTCAAATTATTTCATGTCTGACTTGAGGGGCAACAGTATATTGCATGAACCAGCACAATATCTTAGAAAAACTTAACTCTGAAAATACAACAGGTCCGTGTTCATTAGCATCTTTTCACTTGTGCGCTGTTATATTTTACAGCAACTGAAGTTTATGCACACTCCCCATCAGTTCCTCCTTCTCAGCAGTCCACCAGCCAAAGAATCCAATTTCAGAGCTGCTAAAAATCTCTATGGAAGTACCTTTGCATTTCAGTAAGTATGAAAAAGAAATTAGTAAAAATAATGCTAGCAGTTCTTATTGTGCTCTTATCATCTGAAAATATGTGTAAAGAAAAACACAGATATTCTAAGAGTTAGAAATTTTCAATTGCAAATACATTGTTTTAGAGAAAATGGTTAAATCCGTTCTGGGTGTCTTGAAACACTACTTATTTTCCTTCTTTCCACTTTATTTTTAAGTGGTTCACACATTGAAAACTGGCACTCCATCCTGAGGAATGGCTTAGTTGTTGCTTCCAATACAAGGCTGCAGGTAAATAATAGATACAAGGGTTCTTATCTGACCCATAGATACAAGGTTACGTATTAAACATAGGGCACCTTTGGGGAGAGGCAGTTGAGATGGCCATCTTGGTGATCAAAAACTACATGGTGCAATTATATCCTCCCTTCTTTCACACTAATCAGTTGTTCCACTGGTCCTTCTGAAGCATTGATGGTGAAATCCTGGCCCCAGTGAAGTCAATAGCTACTCCCATTGACTTCAGCAAGGTTAGGGATTCACATTGAGGCTGTGCACAGCAGCAGCTTCAGTGGCAGAGGAAGTACCAGATGCAGGGCTTCTTCTTCCATCTAGGAGGTATTGTTCAGTACTGCTAAAGAGAGAATCATAAGGACCAAGTCATGGAGGAGAATGAGAGTGAGGTGACTGAATGGAGGAAGCTAAGAGGAAAGAGAAAATTAACAGAGGGAAGTTCAGAGATGGGGAAATAAAAGAAAAGGATTCAGTGAATACAGATAAAGAGTGCAAAGAAGAGAGAGACAGTACAATAGGGAGGGAGGGAAAAGAGACGTCAGTGGAAAAGAAGGAAGAGAGAAAGTTGGGAAGAATGACAGAACTCCCTACTTAAGCTCTTGGGTGCACCCTAATAAGGACCTGCACAGTTCCTCTGAAGTCACTGAAGTTATTCACATTTACAGGCTCTGTCTCTATATTTCTACCAGGTGCTCTTGGAACCTCTGTTTAAAAACATGAATTAGGCAAAAGCATCACTGACTTCTGGAACAAATCTAAACAGTGATCATTTATTTATTTACCTAATTTAAAAATTATACCAATTGTGGCCCTGATACTGCAAACATGTATTATGAATAAAGTCATGCAGACACATAATTGTTTTCGGGATCAAGGGTTACATTTCAGATTTAACCTAACATTTTTTTATTGTTTATCATCGTGTTTGCTGATAACATGCAGGACATTGATTTGTTCATGGATTGCAGTGTTAAATCTCAACACAAATACATCTATAACTTCAGAATATGGAGAAAAATTTCCTTTACCACCAGTAGATCTAAAAACAGAAAGCACTATTTTACAGCTGTAAACTGAGGCAAACTCCTTTATCTGCAGGCAGTTGGAATGGTCTGTGCCATAAAAATGGATTTTGCATGGTCTTTAGGGCATGCAGGAGTATTTTAGCTTGATACAGAAGAGTTTGTGTAATATTTGCTGCAAGTTTTCTTAGGAATTATTTTGTACATAATTTAATATCAGATACTGTATTGGTGGGAGGGCAAATAATTATCCAGATCAGTTTAGATCATGTGCCATGTTGTTTTGCTTTGTAAAACTATCAAATTAATATTATGCCTTTTTTACATTCTTTTTCAGCTCCATGGTGCAATGTTTGGAATTGGGATCTACCTTAGTCCATTGTCAAGCATATCATTTGGTTACTCAGGTGATATTTATAAATCACTCTAAAGAGGGGGCAATGTAAAGGGATATTTTAATTTGCTGATTTTTTTTACCTGCTTCATTGTTTTAATCATTGTAGTAATTTTGTCTATTTCTATCTTAGGCCAGCATTTGCAAAAACAGGAGCTCCTGTGTGCAAAAAATAAGCTCCTAAATTCCCATTTATGGTCTTAAATACATGCCCTGATTTTCAAGGGGGCTGAGCAGCCAGGACCTCCCACTGAAGTAATTGGCACCTGGCATCCATTACTTTGGAAAGGAGCCTAAATGTGGACTTGAGAGGCTGCTTTTACACTTCTGTTTTTAAAGATCTTGGCCACAGCATGCAAATATATTTATATGCAATATGCGTACACTGTGCATTTCAATGTGTGTGCATAGGCATATAGGACCCAATCCGGAAAAAGCACTTAAGTGTCTGCTTAACTTCAATCTGAAGAGTACTCCCATTTAAGTCAATGGGACTACTCATATGCTTAAAGTTAGGTACATGCTAAGGTGCACTGCTGGATTGGAGCCATGTAGGAATAAAGGACAGGATATAGTAGCATAAAGGACCATCTTTTTGTTCTGTGTTTGTACAGCGCCTGGCACAATCGGATCCTAGTCCATGACTGATGTCCTTGATGCTATTGTAATATAAATAATAATAAAGGTGTTAAACGTAATGGAGTTAGGAGAGTGGCATGATTTCCATGTGGCAAATGTTATGTAGATCACTCAATTCAAAATAAGATAGCATTTAATATAATAAAAAGTAAGTCAAATATTCAAGATGAAATATTAGAATGAGTCCATAAAAGATTTTAATTTAATTCTTTTTCCAGTACCACACCACAAGCAGCAAAGCTCAATTAACTTTAAACTGAAGTCCATCCCTTTTCAGCAAAATGCTTAAGCACATACTTAAACTGAATTCAGTGGAATTTAAGCTCATGTGTAACTGCTGTTACACCTACTTTTAGGTACTTTGGCTATTTTAAAGGCATTGGAACTGTCGTGCAAATGTGTGGCTCTTAGGACTGAGTCAGACTGGTGGTAGCATGTGATGCGAGAGAGAACAAGAATTTTAGCATGCTTTGCAGAGGAATCTGACCCCACTCTAATATCTGCTTTCATTCTCCATGTATATCTTATACTTACAATGCTTTACACACCAGTAAATCTGAAGTAATTTTAATGTCTTTAGGGATGAATAAGAAGCAGCAGAAGGTGTCAGCTAAGGATGAACCTGCTTCAAGCAGTAAAGGCAGTAATGCATTACAGGTACAGTAGTGTATCAAACGGTATATCTGGAAGGCACATTGGGTTTTGTAGCTGGGAAGGAATTAATATTCCTTCTTTGAAAAGTCGAAAATTCTCTTTTATTGTACACAGTCAGCAGTATCCAAAGACATTGTAATGATCAAATATAACCCAACCACTGGTAGTAACAATTTACAGATTATACTGCAACAAATGTGGATTTCCTTTCATAGGCAGAACTATTTGAAAAGAAAATAGGGAAGAAATGCCGATTGAATCTTTAATTCAGTATCACTCCTGGCAAACCTCTGCCTGTGAACTCTGGAGTCTTTACTAAATTAGTGTGCAGTATGGATCTAGAATGGGTAATGCTATAAAATTAGTTTGTAACCCTCTAGAGTTCCACTCATAGCACACTACAGATTTTCTTTGTGATAGTTTCTAAACTCTAAGCTGGTAAATTTCTGCTTAATCAAAGGTAAACTCATAACAATTATTTATAGATGGGCATTGGGCTTACAGATGGCTAAATCCTTAGGAGGAAATTCTACACCCATTTCCCTTGACAAGTATATGCATACCAGCATGGTTCCTCACTACAGGAGGGACATGTTGTGGGGAAGCCATTCAGAGGAATTCTGTAACCTCTGTAAGTCATGTCACCATACTCCATAGCAGCTCAGAGACCAAAGGCGTAAAGTAGCAGGGTTTGGCCAAAGAGACCATGACTACATTTATCCACTAGCCCAGCAGTTCTCAAACTGTGGGTCGGGACCCAAAAGCTGGTCGGGACCCCCTTTGAATGGGGTAGCTAGGGCTGGCTTAGACTTGCTGGGGCCCAGGTCTAAAGCCCGAGCCACACTGCCCAGGGCTGAAGCCAAAGCCAGAGGGCTTCAGCCGTGGGCAGCGGGGCTCAGGTTGCAGACCCTCTGCCTGGGGCTGAAGCCCTTGAGCTTTAGCTTTGGCCCCCCTGCCCAGAGCAGTGAGGCTCGGACTTTGCCCCCGCACCACCACCACCCGGAGCAGTGGGGCTCGGTGGGCTCAGGCTTCTGTCCCCCATCCTGGGGTTGTGAAGTAATTTTCGTTGTCGGAAGGGGGTCGCGATGAAATGAAGTTGAGAACTCCTGCACTAGCCAAATTCCCATGTAGAGCAATACATGCTACTATAGCCAATGTGCTACAGAGCACTTGTACTATTGTACTGTACCCAGCTGTTATGTGATGAAAGAGGATTCCACCCCATTGATACCAATGAGGAGAGAGGTGTTATGGCAGATATAGATACTCATACAGCTCATGAACTGGAGTGATGGCTACAGTGGTTCTCTGTGCCCTGCACCCAGCCAGATTGGAGGATTCTGGTCTCCTCATGTAGGTTTCTTGTGAAAACCCCAGGGCAACCGGATTTGACTATCGTTTTACTACTTTTATTAGCTTGTTTCTCATTGATGATGTGATTCTCCACCAATATTATCCAGCCCTCAAATTGCTAATGAAGTGGATCCTTTGCTATTGGATAAAGTAGTTTAAATCGCCACTATTGCATTTTTAACCCAATAATGCAAATGTGTCCAGCGAGACTGTGTCAGTAAATAAACTATTTAAAACAATACTCTTGTTACATTTTTACTCGTGTTTCCTTTTACTATTTTAATTAATTTTTCCACATTTTTATCCCTCAGTCACAGAAAAAAGGACAGCAATCCCAATTTTTGCAAAGCCGTAATTTAAAATGCATAGCCTTATGTGAAGGTAAGCTGAAAATCCCTTAAAACCCAATTTCTTTCTCAGCACTGTACCTGTTTGAATTTGTAAAATGCAAATTAATACAAGCTTTAATTGAAGTTAGGTTTTTTTAATGAGGCAACATTGGCAGGTGTGCAGATGCCTACATCATTTCTGGGTCTTAAATCTCAATGCAGCTCCATCCCCCCATTCTGCCCACAATACCCATTCCCCAAGCATACCTAGGGCCATTAATAAGGTGGGCTCATCATGTGCAGAAAGTGACTGGTCACCATTCTTTCAGTCTCCCAAATTCTAACCAGATAGCTAGAGTTGGTAAAGACCCTCAGCAAGTCCTATGTTAATGGTTTGAGCATCCAGAAAGAAGATCTCCCTAATCTGAATTCCCAGCCCAGTTTTGACAGCTCGGGCAAATAATCTTTTCTTCTAGTAACCACTACACATGAATTGATTTCTATTCTCTGCTTGTGCTTAAAAATCCATATAGTTATGTCCAATCTATATGAATATAGTCACTCTCAAAAGACCTGGCCATTTTTGAAAGTTCCTAGCAAATATGTATCTGTTTTGACAGCAGGTAAAGGAAGGTAAGGATTTCATCTCAGCTGTAAAAATATTTTGGCATTGTTTGAAAGGAGAATAATTTTCAAGATGATACAATTTAAGACAATTTTTAAAAGGACTTTATCTCAGCCTCTAAAATTGCATTTGCAAATTCTACACATATATGAAGCCTTTAAAGGACATTTTTTAGAAATGTAATCCATTACTTTTACCAATTAGATTCTAATGTCATTCTAAAATTCCTGGGAACAGACCTGATATGAAACTAGAATTTGTCTTTACATTTCTAATAATTTAAAAACAAAAATCTAAATATCCCAAACGTACTTTTCCAAGTGTAAATGTTATTCAAAGGATAGAAATGAATGTGCAGAACTATTTCAGTTATCATAGGTCTTGTTTCTCTGACATATTTTAATGTACAATTTGCCAAAATATACTTTTGATCAGCTAAAATCCATCTTGAGGAAGGGAAGAGTAGAGAAAGGGAGTTAGTAAGATATAACAACTCGTGAAAAAGTCAGTCATAAAAGAAAAAAAGTCTAGTGTTTATGAATTGCAAGAGGCAAACATTTGTGTTGACTTAAAATGAAAAAAAGAGGAGATAAGAGTTAAACCTCACACAACAGATTGTAAAACTATATATACATGCATTTATTTACAATAATGTTCAAGTGCATTTATAGGAGTTCTTCGGAACAAAATGGTTTGTATTCAAAAATGGCCTCTACCCAGAAAACCTTATTTCTGATCATTATCTTCATGGTTAAAAAAAAAATCAGTGATTTAATATGTAGCTGTTTCCTAGAGAAGTGGTACCTAATTCTCCTGATTCATAATTTCCTCTATATGTGTGTCAGTGATTGGGACATGGGTGGTTGTGCCTAGTGGTTAGAGCAGAAGCCAATTCCAGTGGTTAAAGCAGAAGTCAGAGGCCAGAGCAAAGGTCAGAGACGAAGCCAGAAGTCAGAGCTGATGGTCAGGACCAGGTTACCTGGAGCGAAGCCAGGCAGGAGTAGGGGCTTAGGTCCAAGGCAGGAGCTATCACAGTCATGGGCAAATGCTTTGAGCAGCCACTGAATTGCTGTTTCTGGGCTTAAGAACTAACCTGTTACCATTCCAGTCAATCAGGTGGTGTATCCAAGCCAGTCAGGTAACCTACTACAGATCAGCTGTGCTCATTAAGTTGCCCTGAGATTGGCTCTGCTGCAGGCCCTGATTCCTGACACTGGGGGGGGGGGGGGGAGAAGCAGGGTTCTAGCAGCATTTGAAGAAGCATAATCCTAAATAATCAATGACTCATTTCCCAGCTTTTTCTTTCATATTTTACTTTTCACCCATTCATCATCAAACATAAATTTTCTTTGTGCCAGAGTTTGATTAATTGGCCCACAGTACCCTATACCACTGGTTTATACCACTGGTTGTTAGCGAGAATTAAGCTGATGTCCTAACTCCTAGGGTCAGCCAACTCCAAAGTTCTAGACCATGCAACAGACATTCCCACAATGCTATTTAAAATGTGTGGAAGCACAGATATTTTTAAATGATGTTTTCCAGAGATGTTTTTACTGTTCAGTGTTTGTTCTCTCCTTATAGTGATAACCTCACCTGATCTGCACAAACATGGGGAGATATGGGTAGTTCCCAACACTGATCATGTGTGTACGAGATTCTTCTTTGTGTAAGTACAATACTTCCTTTTAGCTTTAAAATTCTACTTGTATATTTCCTAAACTTTTTTGCCATGTTTTCTTCAGTTTTTTTTCAACAACTTTAAGAGACCAAAAATAAAGTCTTCCTAACAATTTTTCAAGAATTAATTTTTTTAAGGAAGTGTATGCTAGATCAATGACAATAGATTATTTTACTTCTACCTTTTGTTATAATAAGCAAAAAAAAAAGAACAATGGGTGAAGGGCTATAGGCTGTTCCCACTCTATATGAATATGTCACACTATAGTAAGTGTATCGCTGTATTGATCTGAGACCAAAAAATAACCCTCCTAGAGTGTACATCTGAAAAGCCAAGGAAGTCAAAATTAGGGATAAAAAGATGTGACATATCTTTAAGTTGTACTCTAGTTATAAAATGTTCTTCTTCGAGTGATTGCTCATATGTATTCCACAATAGGTTTGCGTGCTCGCCACATGCACCGGTGCCGGAAGTTTTTCCCCTAGCAGTACCCATAGGGGAGCGCCCCTAGCGACCCCTAGAGTGGCGCCTCCATGGCGCGATATAAGGGATGCTGCACGCTCCCCCCATCCTCAGTTCCTTCTTGCCGCCAGTGAAGGTGCTTTGGAACTGCTCTGCTCCAGCTTGGCTGCAGCTCTCCTCCAGAACTCTTGTTCGTTCAATGTAGTAGTACCTGTAGTTTAGTTTAGTTTAGTTCACCCGGGCCGGGGCATGCCCCATGCCCTGGGTTTTAAGTCGTGCGACACTTGTAGGTGACCAGTGGCAGTGAGTGATCCGCACGTGGACTGTTTACGCTGTTTGGGTGAAACCCATCTCAGTGATCGCTGCAAGATTTGCAAGTCGTTCAAGCCTCGGACCAAGAGAGAAAGAGACATTTGGCTCCAGCCATCCTGATGGAGTCGGCGTTGACCCTGACTCCAGCACGCCGCTCCAAGTCGGCACCGGGTACCATGGTATCGGTGCGCAGCGACCCCCCGGCGCCATTTACAGTTGGCACTGCTCCCTGTCCATGGGGCATGCCAAGAACGCTAAGAAGAGGCCTTCTCCGCCGCGGCACCGGAGCAAAACTGGGGGAGAGGCTAGACCCATGTTGGTCAGTCCTCGGTCCCCATCGGCCTCTAGGCCGCTGACTCAGGTCGAGCGCAGTAGCCCAGCCCATTCGGAGTAGGCTTCCCGGATGCCCTCCACACTGGAGGCCCTGCAAGCGGCCCGGGATGTTATGTCCATGCCGGTACCATGGGCACCACCAATGTTGGCTCCGCGGGCCAGAGGCAAGCCGCCGCTGGGATCTCCGCAGTCGGCCCCGACTTGGTACTGGTTGCGGTTGAGGGAATGTTCCCGACGCAGTTCGCCGCTCAGCGACTGTCCTGTGCGTAGTCCACGCAGGTCACTGTCAACCCCCACCACGTTGTCTGGCAGGGTTCCGACTGACAGAGACTCCAGGCACCGCTCAGCCTCGAGGAGCGGACACCGGTGGGACCGAAGCAGACAACGCCGAAGGTCCTCGTCTCCGAGGGGCTATTGTAGCCAGTCATGACACGAATGTCGACACCGTTCCCGTTCATCGTCTCGCTCCAGTATCCCACCACGGCATCATTCCCACAACCCTGGGCGTGGATCGCTGTCGCCTCGCCGTCGCAGATCCGCCCACCGGAGCCGATTGCAGAGCAGCTGCTACCGGCGGTACTGTTCCTCCACAGGATCACAGTCTCGTGGTCAGCACCACTCCCGGTGCCGCTGCTCTTCCCGGTCCAGTGACAGCAGCAGGTCATACGTCAGCCCAGCCTCCCTTCATAGTCATCAATGAATGGAACAGGCCAGCCTGGCCAAACAGCCTGCTCCGCTGGTGCCACAGCAGGTGCAGTGGCACCAGACCCCGTGGCCGGCAGAGTGGTACCAATGGGCACCGTGGCCCCCGACGCAGCCCCTGGTGTTGGCTTGCTCGGTGGCCGGAGTCTCAGAATGGCCATCGACCTCCCTCTCCCAGCCTCCAAAACGGAGTCCGTGAGACGTGCATCTTCGGCGCCGTGCCCAGAGAGCTACCAAGTGGTGGATCCTCCAGTGCTGGTGGACATGCAAAGTACCACGCCCGTCTCCTCACCCTCCCCTGATGAGGCGACTACGGTCCCTCCGTCTCGCAGGAGGACTCTAAAGCCCACCAGGAACTATTGGAAAGGGTGGCATCAAACCTCAACCTTCAGGCAGAGGAGGTGGAGGAGCCCTCGGACTCCCTCTTTAACATCCTGTCCGCCTCGATACCGGGCAGGGTGACCCCGCCACTCCACGAAGGGGTAGCAAAAATTTCAAATGCCTTGTGGCAAACCCCGGCCTCCTTGCCTCCCATCTCAAAGAGAGCAGAACGCAAGTATTTTGTGCCTACCAAAAGACATGAATACCTATACACCCACCCTTCCCCTAACTCCCTGGTGGTCGAGTCAGTCAACCACAGGGAGCGGCAGGGCCAAGCAGCCCCTACTCCGAAAAATAAAGACTCAAGGAGGCTGGATTCATTTGGGAGAAAAATGTATTCGTCCTCAAGCTTCCAGTTACAAGTGGCGAACCATCAGGCTCTCCTGGGCCGGTATGAGTTCAATCTGTGGGGCTCTCTGCCCAAATTCGAGGACTCCCTCCAGGAGCGTGACAGGAAGGAGTTCAAAGCTCTGGTGGAGGAGGGTACAGTGGCTGCCAGGGCAACCCTGCAGGCAGCATCGGATGCGGCGGACACGGCTGCATGGTCCATGGCCTCCATGGTATCCATGAGAAGGGCGTCATGGCTCCTGCTGTCTGGGCTGTCCAGTGAGGTGCAGAACTCCTTGCAGGACCTCCCGTTTGACAGCAAGGCTCTGTTTGCAGAACAGACGGACATAAAACTGCATGGCCTGAAAGACTCCCGCACTACGCTTAAGACTCTTGGCCTCTGTGTTCCGGCTCCGGCTAGACCTAAGTTTAAGCCGCAGCAGGCTCCCACCCAGGCCACACACTCTAAATACGAGCCCCCTTATAAAAAGTCGCGGGACTATAAGAAACGTCTGCAGAGGCAGTCCCAGTCTGCCCCCCAGCCTGAGTCCTCCAAAGGCAAACAAGCAGGGAAACGACAGTTTTGACGGGACGCCCGGGGGCGACCTACCAGTTCACATCAGGGATCCACCCACAATAAAGCTTCCCTTCTCCAACCGGTTGTGTGCTTTTCTCCTGGAGTGGTCGTGGCTGACCTCAGACCGATGAGTCCTCAGCACCATCTCCCGGGGCTACACCCTCCAGTTTACTTCTACCCCGCCCAACCATCCTCCATCCCCGTCCCTCTTGGGGGACCCCTTTCACGAGGCTCTGCTTGAGCAGGAGGTGGGACGGCTCCTTGGCCTAGGAGCGGTGGAAGTGGTGCCAGCGGAGTTCAAACACAAGGGGTACTACTCCCACTATTTCCTTATCCCGAAGGCTAAAGGGGGGCTCAGGCCCATCCTGGACCTGCGAGGCCTGAACCAGTACATGGTGAAGCTCAAGTTCCACATGGTCTCCCCGGCCTCCATCATTCCTCCCTGGATCCTGGGGACTGGTATGCTGCCCTCGATCTGCAGGACGCGTACTTCCACATCCATATATTCGAGGGGCATAGGCGCTTCCTCCGTTTTACGGTTGGATAGGAACACTACCAATTTATGGTCCTCCCGTTTGGCCTGTCCACTCCCCCCAGGGTATTCACAAAGTTTATGTCTGTGGTGGCGGCCTATCTCAGGCACCGGGGGGTCCAGATCTTCCCCTATCTGGACGACTGGCTGGTCAAGGGCAGCTCCCGGTCGCAGGTGCGGGATCACGTGGCGCTCCTTCTGTCCACGTGCACCACTCTGGGCCTGTTGGTGAGCGACCCCACGTCCACATTAGTTCCGGTACAGCAGAGTTTATCGGGGCAGTCCTGGATGCTACATCGGCCAGGGCATCCCTCCCACCGGACAGGTTCGAGACCCTGAAAGGGCTCATCGACACAGTCACAAGGTTTCCCGTGACAACAGCCGGAGCGTGTTTCCAGCTCTTGGGTCACATGTCGGCGTGCACATATATGGTTGGCCACGCCAGACTCAGGATGAGGTCCTTCCAGCTCTGGTTGGCCTCGGTGTTCTCCCAGGCCAGAGACAGGATGGACAAGGTCCTCACTGTGCCCGAGCCGGTGATCACCTCCCTACAATGGTGGTCCTCCCCAGGGAACATGATCCGTGGGGTCCCGTTCAGAGGCAGGCCCCTGTCGATGGAACTGGTGTCCGATGTGTCGGACCTGGGGTGGGGAGCCCATGTGGGAGACATTCAGACCCAAGGTCTGTGGTCGGCACAGGACCTGGGCTCTCCACATAAACGTCAAGGAGCTCAGGGTGGTCCGGCTGGCATGCGTGGCCTTCCGCTCACACCTGAAGGGCAGGGTGGTCAGGGTTCTCACAAACAACACGACCTCGATGTTTTACATCAACAGGCAAGGCAGGGCCCAATCCTCTGCCCTCTGCCTGGAAGCCCTCAAGCTGTGGGACTTCTGTATAGCCCATGACATTTGCCTACAGGCCTACCACCTATCGGGCGCCTGTAACTTGTGGGCGGATCGCTTGAGCCGGGACTTCTCCTCTCAGCACGAGTGGTCTCTTCACCCAGAGCTGGTGCACAGACTTTTCCAAGAGTGGGTAACTCCCCAGGTGGACCTGTTCGTGACTCGGCAGAACCGGCGCTGTCCCTGGGTCTGCTCCGGGGGGCTGGGACTGGGCGCTATCTCTGATGCCTTCCTCCTATCCTGGTCAGGCCAGTTTCTCTATGCCTCCCGCCACCCCCCCCCCTTTCCTGCTGATCTGCAAGGTCCTGGAAAATATAAAGACGGACAGGGCAGCATAGGTACGGGACCCTCAAGAGCCTGGCAGTCGCCCCACCGTGTCCGTTGCCGTCCTGCCCAGACCTGCTCTCCCAGGACCAGGGCCACCTCCTCCCCAACCTAGCGGCACTCTACCTCATGGCATGGCTGCTCAATGGTTAGGCAGGGAGGAAAGGACGTGCTCGGAAGGGGTTCAGCGCGTCCTCTTGGAAAGCAGGCGACCCTCCACGTGTCGAGCCTACTTGGCAAAGTGGTCTTGGTTCTCCTGATGGGCAGCTGAGCGGCGCATTTCCCCCGTGGCTGCCCCGATCCAGCTCACTTTAGACTATCTCCTTCACCTTAGGGCCCAAGGCCTGGTGCCCTCATCCATCAAGGTGCACTTGGTAGCCATATCGGCCTTCCACCCACCGGGGCAGAGGCATACGGTATTCTCCCATGCTATGACTGGCCGATTCCTTAAGGGATTGGATCATCTCTTCCCGTACATTAGACCCCCGGTCTCTCAGTGAGACCTGAACTTGGTGCTGACTCGGTTGATGGGTCCCCCCTTTGAGCCGCTAGCTACATGCTCCTGGTTGCACCTCTCGTAGAAGGTAGCCTTCCTGGTGGCGATCACATCAGCTAGACGGGTCTCGGAACTCAGGGCCCTGTACACAGTGTTCCATTACAATAAGGTCCAGCTCCACCCACATCCTTCATTCCTCCCGAAGGTGGTCTCCGCCTACCACATGGGTCAGGACATTTTCCTGCCAGTCCTCTACCCCAAGCCCCATGCATCCAGTGAGGAGCGCCGCCTCCACATGCTGGGTGTGAGACGGGCTCTGGCCTTTTACCTGGAACGAACTAAGCCATTCAGGAAGTCTTCGCAGCTGTTCATCTTCTCGGCCGAATGCATGAGGGTTTGGCCGATCTCCACTCAGTAGCTCTCCAACTGGATCACCTCGTGCATCCATACCTGTTATGGCCTGGCGGGAATCGCTCCGCCATCAATTGTAATGGCACACTCGGCTAGGGCGTAGGCCTCGTCTGCTGCCTTTTTAGCCCATGTCCCCATTCAGGACATCTGCAGGGCTGCCACATGGTCTTCAGTTCACATGTTCACGTCACACTATGCAATCGTCTCACAGACCAGGGAAGACGCCAGGTTCGGCAGGGCTGTGCTTCGTCCCAAGAGTTTGTGAACTCCTACCCACCTCTAACAGATATAGCTTGGAATCATCTATTGTGGAATACACATGAGCAATCACTCGAAGAAGAAAAGACAGTTACCTTTTCCGTAACTGGTGTTCTTCGAGATGTGTTGCTCATGTCTATTCCACATCCCGTCCTCCTTTCCCTCTGTTGGAGCTGTCTGGCAAGAAGGAACTGAGGGTGGGGGGAGTGCGCAGCGCCCCTTATACCGCGCCATGGAGGCGCCACTCTAGGAGTCACTAGGGGTGCTCCCCTACGGGTACTGCTAGGGGAAAAACTTACAGCACTGGTGCACGTGGCGAGCATGCACATCTATTGTGGAATAGACATGAGCAACACATCTCGAAGAACACCAGTTATGGGAAAGGTAACTGTCTTTGTCCTTTTATCACATTTGATTCATTAACAGACCACTATATATCGACACCCAGAGCTTCCTTGATTTCAAATTTGCAGTAAATGAGGTCTTGTCTTCACTGGGGATTTGCCCTGATTGGTGGCCACTCACTGGTATTTGTGTACCAATGTAAACACCTAGTGTAGACAAGGTAAACTGTGTTTTACACCAGTTCCTGTTATCCCTGTTCTAAGCTGGAGTAAGCTGCACTGGTTTACTGTATCTGCAGTTGAAACTTGCACAGGCACAGATCCCTAAGGGTATGTCTACACAGTAGGTAAACACTCGTGTCTGGCCCAGGTCAGCTGACTTGGGCTTGCAGGGCTTAGCCTGCAGGGCTATATAATTGCCATGTAGACATTTGGGCTTGACCTGGAGCCCAAACTCTGGGACCTCACGAGGTGGGGAAGGTCCCAGGGCCCAGGTTTCAGCCTGAGCCCAAACGTCTACACAGCAGTTTTTAGTCCCCCAGCCCGAGCCCCATGAGTGTCAGCTGACCCGGGCCAGCCACAGCCATGCTGCGGGTCTTTTATTTCAGTGTAGACATACCCTAAGTGACTGACCAAAAGTGACTGATATCAGAACAAATCCCCAGTTTAGACAAAGGATCAGTTACTCCAGATAGAGAGTGCAGTAACTTACACATGCTTTCATAACACTCCGCTCCAGAAGGTTCCCAAGAGACAGTGACGGTAATGGAAGGAAGCCCTTTGCATATGAGCTCCCGCAGCTGGTGAGCTGCCAACGGCTTTCAGTGAGCCGGGGTAGGCAGTAGTGCAGCCCCAGCAGGTCCTGCTGGACTTCAGTTTTGCTGGTTGGAACTCTAGGCCTCTTCTGTGAAAGGGCATATCCTGCCATCAAACAGCTTCACACTCCTGGAGTTTACACTCGCCACATAATATTCATGGCTTAGTGCTTAAATAAGGAGCATTGTAAAGTATATAATCAATGTCATTGCATAGTGAATAAAGAGTGGATTACAATTTTATTTTTTGTCTGTACTTTTTTAGTTATGAAGATGGCCAAGTGGGTGATACAAGTATAAATACACAAGAAACAGGCATTCACAAAGAGATTCTTCGAGTCATCGGTAATCAAACTGCTACTGGGTAAAAGGACCACTCCTATTTAATTGATGTGATTTGGAAGCCTTCCTCAGTCTCAAAGCTGGATTTTGAACTGAAGAAGATGCGAAAAACTAATTTATTATTATTATTATTATTACTACTACTACTACTAAACAAATTAACCCTTTGAATACTTCCTTTTTTCTTACTTAGTATTTCTTATCTCATTGAAATACCTGAAATGGTATGAGTTAGCAATTATAGGGGTACAAAGTCCATTAATATACTACAACTAATAGCAATTAAAGAGACATTTGGGTTGCTCACAATAAACAATTTAAAAAGGAGTTTTGTGCTGATATTTTTATATTAAACTCTTTAATTGGACCATTTTAGTACTGTATACTGGTATTTTAAATTTATAATGACTGAAATATAAGCAAGAGAGAAGATTTTATAGCGGAGAACCTGCATTATACAGGACACTTTGCAATAAGAATATTCACATATTTTAATACACCGTAAAAATGGTTTCTGGAACATGTCAAATTAAAGAGGGTGGTTACTTACAATATCATAGATTCATTTTACTGTATGCAAATGCAGCTAGAATTTAGAGTAAAAAAAGTTAAAAGAAGAAAACATTTTTGCAGTATTCAGTTATTGCTGAGAGAAATATAACTACATTGATGGTGTGTGACTACTCTTCTTCATTCTCTCAAAAGAAACGATACCATCCAGTAAACAGTTCAGTTACATTATTTAAAAGGTGCAAGCCAAGTGAGCTGACCAGAGTTCCAGGGGCTGAGAAGTGAATTTGTAGTGCAGCCATTTGTAAACCACTTTTTACAATGACCTATCACCTCAGTTCAGCAAGATACTTAGGTGTTTTCAGTGGCATTGCTCTTGTGATTAAAGTTAGACATGTGCTTAAGTACCTGGCTGAATCAAGACCTATATGTATTTCAGTTGCTTGTCCACTTAGAAAGAAATAGCAATACCTTTCATATTACAAACATGTCAGAATTACTCTTGAGTTCCCTTTGGTGAAATACTGTTAATTCATCCCTAAGGAAACAAAGCAAATCCGTTAAATCTTTATGATTTAGGAATTACAAGTGTTAAAAATAAAATGGTTGCCACAGTATGAGCATGTTGGCAGCACACTTAGGGGCCAGGGACCAATCCTAAAAGGTGCTAAGCACCTCCTAGGAAGTGCTAATTGCCCTCAGCTCTCACTGAAGTCATCTTGCAGGATCATGCCCTTCTCTTTTGACAACATTTTAAATCCCCTCTCTGTACATCTCCACTTACTCCCTTGCAGCCTTGAAAAGGGAGAAGATAGACACAAAAATTACCATAAAGACCACACCTTGAGCCCTCCAGAAGTGGCCTGTACTGTTATGAACATGATGGTTATTAGGAAGACCCCAGTGTGTGCTTGTTTTTTTAAACAGAGCATAAGTCATCTAGATAATTGCATAGTGTACAGAGATATTAGGGGTTAGAGATTTATTGTTGAAAGTCTTTTGTTATTCCAAGTTACTCTGCTTCTTGCCTCGTCACTCCTGTTTCCCTGTATCACAAAATAATCCTCACTCAAAAGGATAAAACTGAAGTTCTCTAGAATAAAAGTAGAGTTCTCTAAAGGGCCTCTTTGGAACCAGGCCATCTCTGGAGACACCATTAATAACCGGTGGCACTGCAGCGCAGTTTAACATCTTGCACCAAGGATGATTCCTGGAATTGATCCATCTACATGGAGCAGTTAGGTAGTGTGAAGGGTCGGACTGCACAAATGCAAGGTAACTCAGAATTGAGGCTGGACATCTGGACTGACCATCCTTCCTTAGTTCCTCCTGCTATATATACATGTATGGCTGAACTGGGAGGAGGCTGAGCTGAAGTGTGTGATGAAACATAGAACATGTGATGAAATGCTGTACCTAGAAAAACTGAGGGGAAGTAAGGAGTGGGCTATGCAGCAGGGAACAAGTCCACAGAGGAGTCCTGCAGTGGCTAAGTGGAATGATGGCCCACCATTTCAGGGGGCCTCCTCAAATATGGGATGTGCAACAAGTAGGTGGGGCCAAGAGGGGGTCGGAGCCACCCTAAGTGACATACTTCTCCCTCCCCGCAGTTACAGCAGATTCACAGCCTAAATTCTGCTCTGGGGAGACTGAGTGTAACTAGGGCAATGAGCCAATTTCAGTGTGCATACTGGACCTCCTGTGCCAGCCACATAAGGAGTACCCATAGATGCTACAACTTTTGGGGGGAAGAGGGAACATTTCTCCATCTTTCAGGCAGGATGGAACAAAAGTGTCTTTTCCTCACTCCTTTCCCCAAATCTCCCAGACCCCCAACTACAGCTTTAAGCCTGTGACCAAGTAAAAGCAAAGGAGGTAAAGGGACGGTAGTTCTAATCACAGCACTGTTTCCCCCAGTCCCCACGTATGTACGTCCCAATGCTGAAAAGGCATAACAAGTGGGGCTCCGCAGGGGTCTGTTTTGGGACCAGCTCTTTTCAATATCTTCATTAACGACTTAGATATTGGCATAGAAAGTATGCTTATTAAGTTTGCGGATGATACCAAACTGGGAGGGATTGCAACTGCTTTGGAGGACAGGGTCATAATTCAAAATGATCTGGACAAATTGGAGAAATGGTCTGAGGTAAACAGGATGAAGTTTAACAAAGACAAATGCAAAGTGCTCCACTTAGGAAGGAATAATCAGTTTCACACATACAGAATGGGAAGAGACTGTCTAGGAAGGAGTACGGCAGAAAGGGATCTAGGGGTTATAGTTGACCACAAGCTAAATATGAGTCAACAGTGTGATGCTGTTGCAAAAAAAGCAAACATGATTCTGGGATGTATTAACAGGTGTGTTGTGAGCAAGACACGAGAAGTCATTCTTCCGCTCTACTCTGCGCTGGTTAGGCCTCAACTGGAGTATTGTGTCCAGTTCTGTGCACTGCATTTCAAGAAAGATGTGGAGAAATTGGAGAGGGTCCAGAGAAGAGCAACAAGAATGATTAAAGGTCTTGAGAACATGACCTATGAAGGAAGGCTGAAAGAATTGGGTTTGTTTAGTTTGGAAAAGAGAAGACTGAGAGGGGACATGATAGCAGTTTTCAGGTATCTAAAAGGGTGTCATAAGGAGGAGGGAGAAAACTTGTTCACCTTAGCCTCTAAGGATAGAACAAGAAGCAATGGGCTTAAACTGCAGCAAGGGAGGTTTAGGTTGGACATTAGAAAAAAGTTCCTAACTGTCAGGGTGGTTAAACAATGGAATAAACTGCCTAGGGAGGTTGTGGAATCTCCATCTCTGGAGATATTTAAGAGTAGGTTAGATAAATGTCTATCAGGGATGGTCTAGACAGTATTTGGTCCTGCCATGAGGGCAGGGGACTGGACTCGATGACCTCTCGAGGTCCCTTCCAGTCCTAGAATCTATGAATCTATGAATGTCCTCTGTCCCAGTGTGTGTCCACTCCTGTCTTTGGTCTCGTATCCCCAGTAGGGAGTCCATACTCACTGGTGAGAGAGCTGGACTCTTTCCATTGCCTCCCACGCTGGCTAAGTCTGGCACTCTCTTCTCTTCCCCTGGGGGGCTGCTTAACAACTGAGAGCCAATGGTAAGACTTGTCTTACCAATTGAAAGCAGAGGTGCTGCCAGACTTAGCCAGTGGGGAAGCCAAAGGGAAAAGTCCAGCTTCTCAATTGCAGGGTGCATTCACTGGAAGTGGAGAGAAATGTCTCCTTCCCTCAAGCCCGGAGCACATGGGAGGATGTAAACTTCACCTACTTACACCTCTCTCAATAGGCACCCTCTGTTGGTGAGACCAGCCCCTAGGAGAGTGGGAACACAACAGGACAGAGGACATTGGGAGGTACATATGATCTGGGGGGGAAAACAGTGCTGGGGGCACATGGGGACAGAGAACACGGGGTACACTTACCAGGGGATACAAAACGTTGTTGGGGGTGTGGTCAAACACTTGGGGATGGCATAGAATGTGGGAGGGTAACCAGGAGGTTGTATGGGAACACAAAGCATGATGGGGACATCAGGGGATCCAAAATACTGCGAGAGGAGGGAGGTCAAAACACTTGAGGGATACAACATGGAGCATGGGAAGTTGCACAAAGCGCAGGTCAACACCAAGAGGGACAGAGTTATAGTGTGGGAGATACATACAGATACATTGTGGGAGAACACACAGTATTGGTGGGGTACAGAGTCTCACAGAGCATAAGAACAGAGTAAGGACACTGGGGGAGACACAACACTAGGGGGTACAGAGTAGTACAGAGCATAGGGGACACAATGTGTGGGGAACACAGAGCACTGGTAGGGTGCAGGGTAGCACCGAGCTTAGGAACAGAGAGATGGGGACAAAACCTGGGGGAGGACATACAGTTGGGTGAGCAGTATGCAGAGCACTATATGTGTAAACAGCCATGGTCCTACATGCAAACACAGACACTCGTATGATATAATGTACAGTGTGGTGCTGCAGGGCAGCTTTCAGGAGGAAGGGAATCAAACTCCGCCCTGGAGCCAGCTCTTTACGGCCCTCAAGTTTTGGGTCCCAGCAACTTCATTGATTCTGTCCTCCTCTCCACACCACCGGCAGAATCATTCTTTTTCTAGTGTCACCTAAAGGAGTCTGAGCCGCATGGTGCACTCCTCATTGGGATGGGGACTGGGATTCCTATGGAATCTCCTCTCTGCCCTCCACTCACTCTCCCACTGTTGCCCTCTGCCCCCTGCAGCCACCTGCAAGACTTGAGAGACTGTGCTAGTGCTGAGTGACTCCAAAGGAACTGTGGAGTTGTTCCATTTGCTCATTCCCATCTGTGGGCTGTGGCCCTTAAAGACAGTGTGTGGTCTTGAATTGTCAATCTTAACCCCTTTGATTTTGTTTTTGCAGGTCTTCTGTCCCCCCCCCCCCCCCATTGCTCCATTACTGTTACTGTGGTTGAACTTTTACTTGTTTAGGTGGATAGTAATTTTTTTAAAGCCTCGTGCATACAAACTAAGCGTTAACAGTAACTTTGAAAGGAGTAAGGGCCTGATCCTGCAAGGTTCTGAGAGGTGCTGTGACTTCCTATTGATTTCAGTGGGACTTGAGAGCACTGACCACATGGCAGAATCAAGCCCTGACAGCGTGCGGTTTCTCTTACCATCATTATTTTCCTTATCTCTGCAATGCACCTAATTCTGTAAGAAGTGCTGTTAATTATCCCCGAGGAAGCAAATTAGTTCTGAAGGCTGCATGTTCGTGATCAGGAACCCGAGCCTGCAAAGCGCTAATCACCTCCTGAGAGACCACAACTCCCACTGAAATCACTCAGCCTTGTAGGGTCAGGGCCTCGGAAGGTAGAACAAGGGAAAACCTCCACATTATGAGTAGTGGTAAAATTAAATTGAAACTCATTTTGAAACCCAATAACTTCATCTTTTTTTTTCGGACAGGAAAATATTTTTGAGTGCTATCGTATCTATGAATGGAAAAGCGTCCTCAGTTACTTCCTTTAAGGAGAACGTTGGCACAGTCAGCATGTCCCCTCCCATAGTAAAGCCCGAGGGAGGCGCCTAATAGGTAGAAAACTCTCTGTGAGGTTCCTTTTGTGGGATTTCTCCCTGATGGTTCCATCTAGGGGGTGGAAGTTGCCCTCCCTCAAGCCCTGCAGATCCCTTGAGATCTATGCGGATCTCAGGGGATCTGAAAAGGCCAAGGCCATCTGTACAAAGGGCTTGTGCTGCCTATGGAGCTCTGGCATTTCCGGCCCCCTAGCAGTGTAGCTCAAAGGGAGCTGTGCAATCAGACACATCTGCTACCCTATGGAGAGTTCTATGTGGGGTCTTGGGACAGGGAACCTCTGTCTACATTATGTGACCCCAAGTTGTAGACCCCAGAAATAGGGGGTGCAGTGGAACTAAAATTAAACTCATAATATTTCACCACAATAATAAAATGTTCACCACAGGATCCAATTTTTGGTATCAATACTTTTACACCAAGACAGGAAAAATATTTTTTTAAACCTCTCCTAAATTCAGCCAAGACTTTAGCATTCAAGGGATTAAACACTGTGGGCCATCTCCTTAGCTGATGTAAATCGGTGTAGCTTCATTTTCTTCAACATATCCACACCTGTTTACATGATCTGAGACTCTGGCTCGGTAACTCTTAATGGTTTGTGTAACAATCTGCTTCCAAATATTTTATGGAAACACCATCAATGACTCCATACTTTTTTTACACTTGTATTTTTTTTTAAACCTTTGAAAAACTGTTTACTGATGCTGTATGATTTTAATGTTATAGCTGTTGGTACTAAAAGTGAATCTGATGAACAATGCTAAGATTATAATTTCTTTCATTGTTAAAAAGATAAGACAATTTCAAAAGGAAGACTTTCTGCTTAGGTCAAGGGCACTACATTTGTAAACAATTTTTACCACTGAAATAATAAGCTTTTTCGATAGTTGTTGTTGAGTACAAAGTAGGGGAAGAGAAGCAATTCAATACATGTGAAGAGGTTCTCTACTAAAAAAAATAATAAATGTAAAAATGACCTAATCAGTTAAGCATTAAATTTATTTTAATGGATTTTTTTTTCTTGGCTCAAGAAAATTTAAGTCAAGCAAGAAAAAGTATTTGTCATGAAATTTTGTCAAGGAGGTAAATGTGCATGACTAAAAGCTCTCTGGTAATCTTAGCATTTTCAAACAACATGAAGGCTTGGGGGGTCTGATCCTGCAATGTGTTGAACGCCCCATTCAAGGTGCTGAGCCCCCTCAGCCCTCTTAGGATTGGGCCTTTGATGAACAAATATAAGTGTTGTTTATGTGTTAGTCATGTCTTGTTGTCACAGTAAATTTTAAAAGAGCTTATGAAGCAAAGGCCCATTTCAAATGAGACCATCATGTAGAATTCTATGCATCTTTAAATCAGCAAATCTGGGTGGATTTTAGCAGGGCTAAACTTGTATTTAATTTCATTATTGGTAATACGGTGAAGTCAACAGCAATCTTGATAGTTAATGGGATTAAGGAAAGGCTATAAATTCAAGTCCCTGTTAAAGAACCTGGGCATCCTTCATCAGTTAATATGAGTGAGCCATTAGAACTGCCTCTTCCTGATTGAAGAATACAGTCATGTGTATTGTACATCCTTATAAGAGGGACACTGTAAGAACCTAACTAAAATAGACTAAATTTCAGGTTGTCTCTTTGGGCACTTAGGATCCTATGACACTTTATTTGCAGAATTGAGGTGTTAATCTGATGTCCTGCTGAATTTCTTCATTACAGACACTACCTCAAGATGAAAGGCAAACTTATTGACTAAGCTAAACAAGGTCTTCTGTTTGAAGAGCAGTTAAAATATCACATGTAAGTCTAAAAAGTCGTTAAAAAAATCTCCAGTCTCCTCTGCCATGGTTGTAACTATACTTAGTTTCACCACTTGTAGTGCTCATGACTGTAAGGAAATTTATACTTCAAGTAATGTTGATAAATAATGGAGAGTTCTATTTCTGAAGGTTTTGTTCGGCTGGTTGAGTTTTGGGATATTGCTTTGGAAGTTTTGGATTTGTAAGTATTTTGCTCTTTTTCCACCATATTGGATATATGTGCTTTAGCTTTATGTTCACTAGCTGAAGCCACACCCACTGATGAGACCAAATGGAATAAAATGCACAGAGCTGCCATTTTAGTATGGTAGACTGAATACGAAAACCCTTTGGCAGTTTGTTCCTGCTAATTTTAGTCTGCCAGTGCAGCAGTGATGTATATTACTACCCATTAAACTTTGCATTGGGATTTTGATATGATATATTAAGTATACGTTTTTGTAGGACAAAAAAACCAAGTAGATTTTAGACAAAACATATCTAGAGTATGAAAAACTGTTGAAGAATAGATTTCATTAAACATTTACCAGCAAGTCAGTAAAAATGGAGTTCTTATACACAGGCATTCAGCATAATTTAATGTTCTAAAAATATTTTTTAAATTCACCCAATAATTACTGTACCTTTTGAGTTTAAAAAATGCAGCTACTCCTTTACGTAAACATTAAAATATGCCTATGTTTCTTTTAATTATACAGCCTTTTCTTCCAATAAATTTCTTGAATTCTGTGCACAAAATATTATTGCAGCCTGCTATTTAGCCTATGGTGCCTTAGAGTTATTACAAATATTTAACAATATGTATATATTGTAAATACTGCCAAAAGATCATTAAGGCCAAATATTTTCTCTATTCACTTTTTACTGCACTTGCTTTCTATTGCTATTTAAGCCTCCTTTTATCCAGCTTTGTAACAGTTATAACATTGTAGCCAATGTAAATGTTACTTTCAATAAATCTGAATTTGTTCAACAAGTACTGTGTTTTTGGGCACTATTTTGAGAACTCTGTTAGAGGGTTATCATTCTTCTCCTTAGCGAAGTCTGTTACTGTTTCTGCACTTTTGATGACCTCCACAACACTTAAAAGTTAATGCCAAGTTTTTTATGCTTATTAAAAAATATTCTCTGCAGTGACCCTTTTTTAAAAACACCTGAGATAGAAGTTAAAAACAATGTTGTGTCACCTTTAACTGACTACTACTTTGTGTTATATTATATCTTTGATTCAAAATACAGATATTGGATGCAGAGAGGGGATTTATATATTTTGAATGTACAGTACCATATAAAATGTATAGTTATAATGTCACAAGACACATTTTATGATATCTTTAAAAAAAAAACCTCTGTCCTGCATTTTGTGTAAAAGCGTGCATTTTCTGTGTGCTTTTAGGAAAAAAATAAAGACCCATATCATTCATAACATAGGATATGTTTAATGTATAAATGCACATCTGCAACTCATAAAATACACAGACATTTGTAGGAATGGTTATTAATTCAGTGAATGTACTATTGTTTCCCACTACCTACAAAGCTGAAGTAATTCTTGAGTTATTGGGGTGTATATGAACTATTATCTTTTGAACAGTTTAGATTCTGCTTGGTAACATTAGTAATATTACTACCTCAGATTACAGATTTTGGATTGAGGAATTGCGAATGGTCCTATGATTTTGAATTCCAAAAATTAATGTTTTATCCATATTTATTCCATATAAATATGTAGGAGAAGAAGCTTTCGTTGATACTTTAAAAAGTTAATTATTTTAATTCCAGTAGCATCTAGATTGGGGCCATATTGTACAGTTTATAGACACATTGTAAGATACAGCCAATACACCAGGGAGCTTAAAGTATAATAGAATAGGAGGAGAAAGAGAGGTACAAAAAGAAGCAGTGACTTGCCAAAAGTCACACAGTAAGGCGGTAGCAGAGCTAGGGCAAGAATCCAGATGTGAAATCCTGGCTCCATTGAAGTCAATGGCAAAACCCACATTGATTTCAGGGGAGCCAGGATTAAACCCTTTTTCCTGAGTAGAGATGGACAAAATTTTTCATCTGAAGCTTTTTTTGGTGAAAAATGTGGATTCAGCAACACTGGCCCAGTTTGTGAATTCATGTTGATTTTGCCAAATTATTTGTTTTGAAAAGAAAAAAAAACTGATATAAAATTCCAAAAAGGCAAAACATTTTGTTTCAACATTTTCTAAAGGAAACATTTAGATTTTTCAGTTCAAAATGACTTTAAGTTTTTAAATTAGAAAACGGATATTTCATTTCCATTTTTTAATTTAAAATGTTTTAAAATCCTCAAAATTGAAACATTTCATTTGACCCGAAATTATTTTTTTTAACTTTTTGATTTACTGAAAATTTCCAAAAATTGTGTTTTCATTTGGACCTGAATCTTTTTTTTAAATTGCCAGCAATCAGAAAAAATCCATTACAGACGCCCCCCCTGCACTATTTAGTGCAGATAAAAAGTATTCAGAAACATGGCAAACTTGCAAAAGTTTGGCATCAAGACAAGAGTGCCATGTGAAAGAAATACTAATGGTATGTTCTAAATCAACTCTCTTTTTAGTGGGCCAAGTATAGAGCTTTCCAAGCATAGTCTTCTCAGCATATCTTAAGTATTGCAAACATTTTCTTTCATATTCAGAGGGAGTGAAGCAGGATTCACCAAAAGGAAATTGAAGTCTCTGGTTTCGTTATAAGACACTTTTAGTAGTAGTACCATGTGTATCAATCACTAGCCTGAACAGATCGGATTTGAGCCTATACCACAAAACTGAAAAATGGTGCGGCAATGGGAATAACATTAGCAGCAGGAACAGCAACTGCTGCAGAGGAGTCTCCAGAGAACACGTCTGGAAAAAATACAGGAACTCCTGACTTAAGCTCTGTTCCAACAAAAGCCAGGGCTTATCATCAGCAAAGTATTTTCAATATGTAACTTTGAAAGTGAAAGCTTTCATTGTTTTGGAGAAATGAGAAGAAAATTGTGGTTGGTTAGATCAGAGCCACTGCCCTGTAGCTGAGTGGATCAATGAAAACCCACTTCATATACATCACTTCGGGCAATAGTCCCACTGCAGCTGTGTACAGAGGATGATGAACATCTCTCTTTCTTCCAGCAGATATTTGGAGTAATATCAGAATTACTGTTAAATTCGTGAACAAAACTATGTCACTTTCTTTGCTGCTGATCTTCTTCTGGCTTCTGTCCTGTGTGGTTATTTATATTTTTTTTAGTGGTTCATATTAGGAGAACACTCTAGAAAGATGGAAGAGGATGGGTTGTACTTATTTCAATACAGTGTCTGAAATATTTGATCATATTCCTTTCTTCACTCTGACTGTTGAATAGGTGATTTTGGTGATTAACCATACATTTCCTTCTAACCTCCTCCTTCCCCTCCCTCCCCTCCCCCTCCCCCTTTTTTTTTTGGCTGCTAACCAGTCAAAATTAATTTACCAGTACCTATAAATAGAAGAAATTATTGGGGGCCAAATCCTCAGCTGCTGTAAATTTTCACAGCTCTATGGTCAGTGGAGCTATGGCCATTCACAAGCATAGAGCATTTTGCTCTGGGTATTTCAAAAACACCTTTAACAAATACAGTTTCTTTGTATTCATTGTTTTGGTAACATGAGATCTAGTTTGCTTGCTTTTCTCCAACTACATATTGGGCTGGAGGATTTAAAAACTTGTTTTTGGTAATTCCCAGAAGCCAGCAGTACGCTCTTGTATACATGTTGCCATTTAGCTGACATGTTGTTCCTGATGTGATATTCCATCTGTATGAAATTGTGCTATTCCACTATTTGCCTCTCTATTATGATCTGCAATTCAAATGCTGTGCTTAGCAGGCTGACATGCAAATCTTAAATATTAGAAAGCGAAAGTCTCCGCAACAATCACTGACCTGCTCTTAGCTTAAACATTCCAATTCATGGCTACTGCTTGAGAGGGAACATATTTGTGACATTCTTTGGTGGACAATATAGATCTCTTTACCTTTTCCCCTCTCCGTCATCCTTTTCTGGGCAGGGGTGGTCCTTTCAATGCTTTCATCATGAAAAATTAGCAAGTTGGGCTGGGGGGGTGGGCGTGGAGTATTTATTTTTTTAATCACATCAGATTCTACATATCTAGCTCAAGCTGATGTGATCTGAATTTCCAATCTGTTTCCCTAACTGTCACTCACTCGCTCAGAGTTATCCTTATATTTGTATTTCAATGCTAATTTTTCAGTGCTAACATTGACATAAGGGGATGTGCAGTCATGAATATAAATGCTACTTCTGTAATACAAAAAGCATGTATACAAACCCATGGGTTTGGAAAGCACTTCTTTTATGTAAATATAAAAGCTTACTGAGTTCTAGACCACATATTTCTTCTTCGAGTGCTTGCTCATGTGTATTCCACAGTAGGTGTGCGTGCTCGCCACGTGCACCGATGCCGGAAGTTTTTCCCTCAGCAGTACCCGTAGGGAGAGCGCTGCTGCGACCCCTGGAGTGTCGCCTCTATAGCGCGTTATAAGGGGAGCCGCGCGCTCCCGCCACCCTCAGTTCCTTCTTGCCGCCAGTGACGGTGCATCGGAACTACTTGCTCCAGCTTTGCTGCAGCTCATCCCAGAACTCGTTTTGTTGTTAGTAGTACCTATGTTAGTTAGTTCAATAAAGTTTCAGTTTAGTTAGTTAGTTAGAGTTCGGGCCAGGGCATGCCCCAGGCCCCAGGGTTTAAATCATGCGAGTCTTGCAGGCATTCGATGCCTAGAAGTGACCCGCACACCATCTCCGCTGCCCGGGCGAATCTCACATCAGCGACCGCTGTAAGATCTGCAGATCCTTTAAACCCAGAACAAAAAAAAGAGAGAGACATTAGACTTCGGGACCTTCTCATGGAGTTGGCACTGGCCCCAACCCCAGTACGCCGAGCGGAATCGGCACCGGGCACTTCGTCTTCGGTGTGCAGCAATCTCCCAGCATCTTCCGGTGGCCGGCACCACTCCCGGTCGAAGAAGCAGAGAAAGGCTCCGTCCTCTCAGAGGCGTCAAGAGAAAGCAGGGGGTGAGGCTAGACCCGTGTCGGGCAGCCCCAGTTCCAAGCGGAGCAGCCCGGTTGCGTCGACTTAGGCCTCTCCGGACATCCAGATGCCTTCGACGCTGGAGGCCCTGCAGGTGGCCAAAGACATTATAACTCTGCAGGTACCTGGGGCACCACCAGATCCCGGATCCTGCTCTAGATGCAAGCCGCTGCTGGGCTCTCGACAGTCGACGCCGACCCGATGCAAATCCTGGTCAGGGGACTGCTCTCAGGCCCGCTCGCCGCTCAGTATCCGGTCTGGACACAGTTTCCGGCCTCTGCTTTCGTCACCCATCAGGTTGTCTGGTCGGGTGCCGTCGGAGCGGAGCTCCAGACGCCGCTCCACGCCGAGTAGAGAGTATCCCTGGGAACTCACAAACTCAAGGGATGTGGTCAGCCGTGGAGCTGTCCCTTCACATAACTGTCAGGGAACTCAGGGCGATACGCTTAGCCTGTGTGGTGTTCAGCTCACAGCTACGCGGCAAGGTGGTCAGAGTACTCACGGTCAACACCGCCACGATGTTTTACATCAACAGGCAAGGCGGGACGAGGTCCTCGGCCCTCTGCCGGGAAGCCCTCAGCCTCTGGGAGTTCTGTATAGCCCACGACATCTCCCTGAAGGCTTTCCACCTGCCAGGCATCAACAACACACAGGCCGATAGCTTGAGCAGGGTTTTCTCCTCCCAACACGAGTGGGTCTTCGCAACTCTTTGTTGCTTCAGCCGAATGCAACCGATCTCCACCCAGAGGCTTTCCCGGTGGATTACATCATGCATCCACACATGCTACGACCTAGCAGGG